TATAAATCCCATCGCCAAAGCTCTGGGATAAAAACACACAACTCGTTGCCCAACTACAAACCATGGGAGATCCAATATATATTTAGTGTGAATTGTATATATTAATGATCTTTACACGGAATGTTTCGTAGCCCTATAGTCTAGGTATGGACATTTCCTACCTTCCCATGCACGAAAACCGTACCATACAAATAAAACTAATCGTATCAAACAAATTCAGAATCGTGGTCCCCCGCCTTTGGGAACCTTTTGGTTGGGGTATAATGAACTATGGCTTATTGTAACTGTCTTGTCTGTCCATCATGCTTAAAAAAGTATATATATATATATATATATATATATATATATATATATATATATATATATATATATATATATATATATATATATATATTAGGGATGGCAATCGAATACAGAATTGCTAATCGATTAACCACAAGACGTTCCGACCGCTTAACCAGTTAACCGTATCAAAATACGCATTTTCTTGATGTACATACTTTTTTCCTAGGTAGCTCTATTCATATATATAAAAAGAAGACTGATAGAGTCTAGATGTTAAATCATTTTATTTGTCTTGATTCTTGATTTTTTTAAAAACCCACATGCTTCTATATTTTATTTTAGTTTCAATGTAGACTGGAAAAAAATAAGAAAACCACGAATCATGACTGAGAAATCATTGATATTTTTCCAAAGCAGATTTCACATACGTTCATTCAGCATTGTCACCATAATTAAAAGTCTGAAATACATCACTTATAATTTACAAAGTTTGTGTAGTAATTTATTCGATAGATAACTGCAAAAAAAAAAAAAACAAACATAGTAATTCGCAGTTTTTAACGGTGATTTAATTATCATTAAAGAAATACAAGGACAGTCAGGGTAACGACATGGTGTTTTAACAGTAATTAACACTTCAAACACAAAATGACCAATTACCCTATCTATCCGGAAAACCATAATTACATCCAAGTCACCTTGGATATGTGAAAACGCTGAATTATCAGCGTTTATGCAAAGATCTCTTTTTCAAAAAATAAATAAATAAATAAATTAACAAACAAAATTAGTTTCAAATTTATGTATATTTTTTTTATTTTTCCGACTAACCGATTACAGATTTTCTAACCGATTGTCATCGTTCCGACCGAGTAATCGGTTAACCTGTTACAAATTGTCATCCCTAATATATATATATATATATATATATATATATATATATATATATATATATATATATATATATATATATATCGCTCTAGACCCTCGGCTATCATCTAGGCAAGTCAAAAAACTTGCTTTCGATGCCGATGCAATGGAATTCTCGCGGCGCTGGTCTACACTACACGGTCATTGAGAATGGAAGTGAGATACAGTTATTTGGACATTAGTTTTATTAGAGGATCGTTACCAATACACGTTGTAATGAAATTATTTTTTCTTTATAAAGCACATTTTACAACAACTCTTAAACTAACATAACTGCCCTAAGTGAATACCCTAGAAGGCGAGGTGCCATAACGCCCGTTACCAATTTAGGTGTGTAGCACCCAATGATTGTTAAATGCTTGTCTGACATTTGTCATTGAAACAATTATTAAAGCTGCGGCCTTTTATCATCCAAAAACATCGTTTATCATAAGTGAATAATAAAATGGGATAAATACTATCATCATAGAACAAGGGCCATGAATTTCACAATTTTGGAAAAAGTGTTCTTTCTCATCTTGACCTTGCACTTAGTTTCTCTGCTAAATTTTAAAGAGAAGTGGAAAGGATGTTCAAAGAACTGATACATTTTTACCAGAGTTGGGGTCAATTACTTTGAAATGCAATGCATTTAATTACAATATTACTTTGGAATTTTTACCATTACAAGTACCATTACCATTACTCTCATTCAGAAAAGTAATTAATTAAATTACAATTACTTTGTTTAATTACATTACATATTACGTTTTATAAGAGAAAAACACATATTTTAAGACCACACAATTTATCTAAAGATTAACTTTTTCACACTTTGTGCTTGGTCAGTATGCTTTCCCTCAGTTCTATAAGTCAGAGTGGTACTTGGTATTTTAGATTCATTTATCATGTTCATGTAGTTCATCTATCTACTGTTGACAAAGAAAGTGGATCGGAACACTTTCAATGTTGTAGTTTTGTTCAGTCTCTGGTGTTAGTTCCTCTGTCTTTTTTTAGTATATGATAAACATTTCATGTTTTATGTAAAGTGATATTTAATTAACTGATAATGCTATAATTGTAAAACGAGTATGTATTAATAATTCATATTTGGTCTTAGTTTCTCTTTGTGTCTCCAAGTAGATCACACTTATCTTGTATCTTGCTTATGAAGTTAATTTCACCAGAATGAACTTTGTGAAAAGAAAAAAATCAAGTTGAAAGATATAGTTAGTATTTTCATTGGTAGTCAAAGTTAATGTCACTTGTTTTGCGGCTATCTTTGAAAAATAAAAATTTCTTTTGATATTTTTCTGGTTTTCTTCAATTGATTTTATATCTGTCTTATCAGAAAGTTTTCTATTAAAGCAATTATTTATTATGTCTATCAAACACATTTGAATAAACATTTTTTTTTTAAATATAAGATTTTTATTTTAAAGACTGTAACATTATAAATAAAAAAAATCTTTCAGTGACCTTGCTTCAGATTCAATAATTAAAAGAGATAAAAATACAAAATGTAAATTTGAAATTTAATTGAAAAGTAATGGTCATTACTGACATTTTTTAACGTAATGCATTACATTACAATTACTTGTAATTGAAAATGGATCCATTACACATTACATCCCATTACATTGAAAAATTATAATGATTACAATACATTACCATTACCCCAGGTCTGATTTTTACTATATGGTCAATAGAGCCCAGCCTTAAGGATTCGCTACCAAGGGGCCGTGAATTTCATAATTTTGGAAGAAGCACCCTTGATTATCCTAACCATACTCTTAGTTTGTCAGCTTAATATCCAGGAGTAGAGAAAAAGACTTTCAAAGAATTGATGCATTTTCACTGTTGATCAATAGAGCTTCACCCTAACTCCAGAAACCTGATCCATTGGCCATGAAGTTTACAATTTTGAAAGAAGCACTCTATCTCAACTTAATCATGTGCTTAGTTTGACTGTTAAATATTCAAGAGCAGAAAAGAGGATGTACAAAGAATTAATGCAATTTCACTATATGGTCGATGGAGTCCCATCTTTACTTCAGAGCCCCTGTCCCAGAGGCCATGGCATTCACATTTTTTAAAGAGGCATCTTTGTTTATCATAATCATGCACTTTGTTTGTATCTAGAGCAGATTTCCAAAGAATATATGCATATTCACTTTATATGTTCAATAGAGCCCAGTCCTTTCACCGGAACCCCTGACACAGGAACCACCAATTTCGCAATTTTGGAAGAGGCACTCTTGCTCATCATATCCTTGCTCCTAGTTTTTTTTTATGCCCCCGTAATCGAAGATTCGGGAACATATAGTTTTTGCCCTGTCCGTCCGTCTGTCGGCAAAAATTTTAACCTTGCCTTTAACTTTTGATTGGTTGGAGCTATGGTTTCATATTTCACATGTGTATTCCTTGTGACAAGACCTTTCTTTGGGTACTATTATATTTGACTTTTGACCTTGACCTTGAAGTTTGACCCAGTTTTGCAAAGTTTTACCCAACTATAACCTTGGCCATAACTTTTGAACAGTTGGTGCTAGGAGTTTCATACTTCACACGTGTATTCCTTGTGAAAGACCTTCCTTTGGATACCGACATTTTTTATCCTTTGACTTTGTCCTAGGAGATTGACCTACTTTTGAAAAACTTTAACCTTGGCCATAACTTTTCTTTTGAACGGTTAGTGCTAGGGCTTTCATTCTTCACATATGTAATCCTTGTGGCAAGACCTTCCTTTGGATACCAACAACTTTGACCTTGGAGTTTGACCTACTTCTGGAAAACTTTAACCTTGGCCATAATTTTTGGACAGTTGGTGCTAGGTCTTTCGTACTTCACATGTGTATTTTCTGTGACAAGACCTTCCTTTGGATACCAACAATTGTAGTCCATTGATCTTGACGTTTTACCTACTTTTTGAAAAGTTTCACTTTGGTCATTACTTTTGAACGGTTCATGCAAGGGTTTTCATACTTCACCTATGTAATCCTTGTGACAAGACCTTACTTTGGATTCCAACAATTTTTACCCTTTGACCTTGGAGTTTGACCTACTTTTGAAAAACCTTGGTTATAACTTTTGGACGGTTGGTGCTAGGGCTTTTATATCTAACAGATATATTCCTAACAGATAAGACCTTATTTTGGGTACCAGCATATCTGATCTGCATTTGAGAAAGTTTAACCTTCGCTATAAATTGCCATACGGGGCATCAGTGTTTCCCAAACACATCTTGTTCTGCTAAATATACAAGGAGAGGGAAGATTTTGGAGGAATTTATGCATTTTTACCAAATGATCTATAAAGCCCCATCCTAAAAGCAGGGCCCCTGACCCAAAGGTCAGTGCTGATTAAAATTATACCAACAGTTTCGCTGCTTGATGTCCAGGTGAAAGAAAGATTTTTAAAAATTACATTGATTTTGATGGTTTTAGCACCACTCTCACCCCCACTGGACACTATACACACAGTGTGCATGAACATGTATAATTTATGCATTATATGTGAATGTTGCTGGAAAAAAGTCAACGCTAATGTTAAGTCAAATATGTCCCAAAGACAGATATCACTTGTTTTAAAAAAAAACACAAACACACAAACACAAGGACAGTGTCACTATGCAATGATCATATCATCAGACTATTACAGAACTAGTATATATTGTGCAACAACTTGATCCTTTTCTACACAACAGTGCAGTTATCCTAAGATGCAGGATTAACCGATACAGGTAACTATTTATCAATATTGTTTTCCGTCTGTCTCTTATGTACATGTACTTTCTGGCTACTTCACTATTTGAGGTACTCAAAAACTCTTATTTTACTGCTGACTTGATCAGCCACCCATAATCTGTCTTTGTTATCTATACAAACTCCATGTGGCCAAACCAGTTCATCTCTCTTTGTAAGTAGATATCGAAGAAAATATCCATCCTTGTCAATGATGTGAATAGTGGCGTTTTCTCGATCTGCTATTAAAATATTTCCAAGACTATCTGTTGCAAGATCACATGGAAAGAATTTCCAGAATGTGCTCAGCCAAGAGTAACCACCTTCGTAGACGAATCTCTCCTTATTATATCTGTCTACGACAATCACTTTCTGAGAGATGGCGTCAGAAATGCATATATCATTGTTAATATTCAGGCAGACACAAAATGGTTCAATTAAATATTTGTGAGTGATTTCGAGTTTAAGATGCCCTCTTTCGTCATATTTCACAACCTTCCCCCCAGGGCAATCTTGCAGACAAACAATGACGTCACCGGAACGCGTGGTACATATGCCAAGAGGTCGACCATTTGTGCGGAAAGCGACATTATCGATATTATCAGGACTGACTTTTCGGATACATTTGTTCTTGTTATCCGAATAAAATATGCCCCCTTCTCTTGTAGGTGCCAATCCAGATGGATATCCAATCCCAGTAGACGTGGGAATTGCACAAATACGCTTGCCTCCTTCATTTACAACAAATATGTCCTTTTGTTTGCCACTAAGTAGGAATTTTTGAGAATGAACATACTTTACGAAATACATATCGGATACACTGAATTCAAATTCAAACAAGCACTTTGGAAAAGGCAGAACTTTTCTTTCCTCCTGCTGCTCCTCTTCTTGGCTTGGAACGTATTCTTCCGGTTCTGCAGATTGGTTTTCCTGTTTTTCTGTTGACTCTTCCACTGACTGTGTTATCACGGACGGCAAAAAGGACCCAAATTGCCATGTTATATGATCTTTGTTAAGAAACCCTTTTTGGAAAACTGGTGGGGTGAAACCCAAGATCTCAGACAAATCTGAAAAGGTAGCATCCTCAGGGTGATCTTTTATGTAGAAAATGAGCTCTGTTGGATGAGCAATCATCTTACTTCTGTAGAATCCCAAAATTTCATCCAAAATTGAACTCTGTTCATTCATTTCCTTTTCGTATTTTTCTATGTCTTCAATGTCTCTCTTCTTATTAGCATCGACCAACTCTATTGTTTCCTCAAAAACTTTGTCCACTAGTTTTTTGAAAGCTTCTTTTTGCTCAATAGCCTGGTCCCTTAATTGACAATATCCCTTTTTGATATCATTTTTAATGGATTTCAGTTTTGACAGACGTTCTTCAATCTCAGGTTTGAGAGACGCCTTTATTTTCATGTCATCCACAGCAATCTTTTTCATACATTCTTCGAACATGCTTTCCATGCTACAAAGAGTGTGCTTTGCATGTTTTTCGCCAATACACTCATGACATACTGGGATCCTACACAATTTACAGCACATGGTGTATTCCTTGCACGGATGATCCAGACACATTTGAGGACCATTCATCTTATATATCATCGAAGAATATTTAATGATTTGGTGATGAGAGTAGGAACTGTTTTCAACGTGTTCCTCTGCGCATTTTGAACAAAATTTGTTTTTGCAATGTGTGCAATAGCGTTCCACAGGTTTCTCCTCACAGTGGATGCACCGCAAGATGTCCTGGGCTTCAGGTGGCACGCGTTGATCCATTTCCTGTAATTAAAAATCAATATGTACACGTAGTTTATAAGACTTACAAAAGATTTTTTGTAAACTCGTCTGAGCTAAAAGGTTGCTATCGAAATCTGTACGTTCCATCCGTCATTAATATGTGTACTACATGTTTTTGACTTCTTCCGAAATATACGTATTCTTTAGATTCAAATTTGCTTAAATCTTGGTCCTATCAAGTAGAAAATTTGAATTTAATGCAATATTTATAACATAATAACCTGCTAGGATTGAAAATAAAAATTTACAACATAACCTACTAGGATTGAAAATCAAAATTTACTACATGATTGTCCTTAAAAGTGTATTTTAAACAACAAGACATAGTTAGTTGACATAAGAATAACAAAAAACACAGAAAAAATGACATGAGAGCACTCAGTCGTAGTTTGTTCAAATAATGTGAGAAAAAGGTAAATCATAACAATGCTATGACTTTCAATAACGAAGCTACGACTTGTTGAACTAATGAAACAGGTTCCTCAAACTTGGGACAGCAATAATATAATGTTAGGGATAAGGGATTTACTTGTGTGCTAGAGAGAAAAAAAACTTTTTGTTGCTCTGTTAAGATCCGCCACTTTTTTAGGTGGATCTGTCACTAGTTAGCGATGTACATATATACTGCATGATGCTTCGTGTTTAATGGTTAATCGTGTTAAGGTCCAGACACCTCTGTCTATGTAGATATGCCAATGTATTATGCTTATATGGGGGATTACGGATTGCATCATTAACTGTCGGGAAATATCAAGAACATATAGCTATTTACTAACATGGCAGCACGGATTAATAATGTTCAAGAGAGCATAACGATTCAATCAATAAATTTGACATTTTAAACAGTCATTTTAAATTGGTTTTGAATTATTTACGAAATACTTATATAGCCAGATTGACAGAAATATGAATATAATTTCCCCCAAATTAAAATATTTAAATTATTGTATGATTAATAAAGTTACCTAAGTGTTCGTCAATGAATACAGATGTGGAAATGTACCCTGTTTTCTTATACGTTCTGCAAGATTGCACAGGAACTGGGCAAGGAAAAATAACTCTTGATAATTACATGTGGTAGCATGCTACATTAAATTTTTAATTTCATTTCATATACATGTAGTTAATAATGGGTCTTGAATAATTTTATCCAGGTACGTACGTAGTATTGGGGGGGGGGGGGTCTCTTGTTGATACTGAAAAAAAGAAGAAGATGCCTTTAATTTTTTACTGTTAATTTATGAATATATTTTTGAATCCTCCAAATGTTTATATATCCTATAGAAAAAAATATCTGTTATACAAAAAAGTTGAGACCTATCCCACAACACATCCACAAAATATTTATTGTAATATTTTTATTTTCCTGTCTTGAGATAATAATAATCAAACTTAGCATGAACTCTATTGTAAGACTGGTATAGCTAGGATATTCCAAATAAAACCGTCTTGAAGCGAAAAGAAATGTTTGATTTTTTTTTCTTGTTATACAATTTCATTGCATACTATCATATTTAATTATTTATTTATTTTATGTATTTATTTCAATATTTTCAGTTTTGTTTTAAAACTATATATATATTTTTTAAATCAAACTAGATGCTTCTGTTTGTTCTTGTTGTTTTAGAGAACAGCTGTACATATGCAATCTTATTTTTTTATTTGTATAAAGGCGTTGCATATTTCCATTCAGTACTATGTCGGCTCCCCCCCCCCCCTTTCCAGTCTCTCTCTTCCGGTAAAATATATCAAAATATAGTCCCTGAGAACAACATAGAGTTATTATCAAAATCAGATTTAAAGAGTATTTGTGTTTTATCTCCCTTTTTACTGCAGAAAATATTCATGTAGTAAAAAAAGAAGTTAGATTATGATCAATGCCTTCAAGAAATGGATTGCGCGCATGAATATATTACTGTCAAGTATTACATACTTCCTTTTTCATGCGGGATCGCCATTGGTAAGCACGTGTTGATTTGGTCTGTACAAAATTTTTATGAGATGTTAATGAAGTGTGCATAATATTCTTAAATTTTAGTGCTTTTCGGTGAAATTATGATAAATAAGAACGAGGTAGAATTTTTTTTCAATCCGGTCTGGTTTTGTAAATTGTTAACGCGCTAGAAAGGGGGGGGGGGGGCTCTGTCTTGCCTGGTAAATGACATATTGGTTCATATTTGTATTTTATTTTCCATATGTCTCATTAAGGAAGCACAAAAAATAAGTCACATTGTAGTAATTAATCATTTTGTTAAGTTCTCTTTTTTTTTCTATTTTCAGTAAAATTTCAAGATGGTCGGTCGTATCCCAGTAAAACGAAGCAAAACCTACACAACTCCCAGACGTCCCTTTGAAAAGGAACGTTTAGACCATGAGTTAAAACTCATCGGAGAGTTTGGTCTTAGAAATAAGAGAGAAGTATGGCGTGTCAAGTATACACTTGGAAAAGTGCGTAAGGCTGCCAGAGAGTTGCTAACTCTTGATGAGAAAGACCCTAGGAGGCTTTTTGAAGGTAATCACATGAAATAGTAAGAAAAAGAAAAGAACATGAAGTATATCCAATCAAATAAAAAGCAAAATCAGTTTCATTGAACTCGTAAAATATACATTCACTCTAACATTTGTGTTTGTTATAGGTAATGCCTTGCTGAGAAGACTGGTAAGGATTGGAGTGTTGGATGAGAACAAAATGAAGCTCGATTATGTGTTGGGTTTGAAACTGGAAGACTTTCTGGAGAGGAGACTGCAAACCCAGGTCTTCAAATTGGGTCTTGCTAAGAGTATCCATCATGCTCGAGTTCTCATTAGACAGAGGCACATCAGGTATTTTATAATTGGATAGTATGGTTTTTTGGTTTATTAAATATTCATATCTTTTGTTCTTTTGCAAGGAAAAGAAAGAAAACTTTTCAAGTTGCAAGGTGGCAAGTTGAAGAATTACCAGAGAACATTTTTTCCTGAAATCCCTTCTGCTTATATTACAGATGAAGGAATATTTGTTAATTTTCAATTAGACCACTTCTTGGCCCAATGTGGTCAGAACGTCTAATATTTCCTTTACTGGATGGTACTTGAGATTTGGAGAATGCTTGTTCAAGATTCTTGTGGGCCACTTGAGAAATTAATGCAATGTATTTCTCAACGTCCACTTGGATAGTATTCTGAACTCGTCTGATTCTCTAATTTGATGACGGTGCCAGTAACTGAGAAGGAAGTTCAAAAGGTATACCAGTATTTTGAATCACCAATGTGTAGAGAGAAGTGGATTGTTTCAGAATACTTATTTTGCAGAGTAGACCAACTCATTTTATATTTCCTATTCTGCAAGTCAAAGATTAGCAGATGACATACTGCAGGGTGGTCTTGACAAAATAACAGAATTATTGAAAACCATCAGACCTGTAAGCAAGGCCTATGAAAATTTGAAGTGATAACTGACTAGAAAACGGGGGTTCAAGTGAGAATTGGGGGAAAAATTGGATAGAGCAAATAATTAAAAATCTGCACAGGTGAAAGTCGCATAAACAAAAGATGGTCATGTATCATCTAGATTTGTGTGGTTATCTGACATCTTGAAAGAGTTTGAAAACTCGGTGTGACCAAGATCTTTTTATTAAGCTGAAGGGTAGACATGTTTTATTGAACTCGAAAAATTATAGTAAGTGTTATAATTGCTAGCTTATTTACATGAAATATAGAATTACAATTCCGTCATGTGAAATACATGTATGTGGAAATGGCAGGTGGAGGACTGGGCCCTGTGCCTCTGAAGCTGATGATAACTAGTTTATCTTCCTGTATTTTAGAGTGAGAAAACAGGTGGTCAACATCCCATCCTTTGTTGTAAGACTGGACTCCCAGAAACACATTGACTTCTCCCTCAGATCACCCTATGGTGGTGGACGACCAGGTATGTAGTTTCAATGATTGCAAGAAATACAATATTGGCCATTTGCTGATTTGTTTGAATTGCTTCAGAGTAGTAGAGGGGTGTGGAAAACTGTCTTGCTAGTAAGACTGGCCAAAAAGTCCTAAAAGGTAGCCCATGTACCAATACATCAGTAAATTCTCGCAAATGATTAATCACTATATTTTGGCTTTTCTCCTAGTAAAGTTTTTTCTCTCTCTCCAAATTGTGGAGTTTTTGTAAAAAAAAAAAATTGACATTTTTTCCTTTAAAATTTAATGAACTGAAGGTACTCATATTTTGCATTAATATTTCAGTTCATCAGTCTTGTTGATTGATTAGCCTGAAACAAAGATTCTGCTAGATTTCGTACTGTCATGTAAGAATGACATTTACTGTTGATTTATTACATAGGTCGTGTCAAGAGGAAGAATGCCAAGAAAGGAACAACAGAGGAAGAAGAGGATTAAAATGTACATCTTTCTGACAATAAATTGTCACCTCTCAGAGTTTTCTGTTGTAGTACAAAGTACCCTCTTGTATTTTGAATTTAAACATCCATACATGGCATGGCGCAGAACTTTATCTGAAAGATGGAAGGACTGAAGGGTTCATGTATGGTGTTTTTTTTTAAGTGGGATATTCATTGCTCTAACTTGTCTGTGTGGAAAAAACTTTAAACAGTGCTGAAAAAGTTAAATTTTAATTATTTTTAACAATCCCAGAGATGAGCCTTCTGCTTGAAATAAGGAACCCAATATTGCAAAGAAAAGTATCCAAATTTGGCATGGTGATACTTGTCAACATTGACGTGTCTCATCTCTGGTAATTTGGTGCAAGTCTCCAATATGTTAAATACCAATATGTTTAATAATAAAATGCCGTCTTTGTTAGTTTGGGAATTAACATCCCAGCTATTGCTAAAAAAAAAACAAACAAAAAAAAAACATTTAATTTGTTTCAATTTTTTCTGCAAAAGCTGCAATTGTTAATTTCTGTATATTTACATCCACAGAGGATTTTCTCTTATTTCTTAAGAAAACGATTTCTTTCATCAATTGGTAAATGCCGGTTAGAACCGGCTTTTCAAGCCACCCATGTAAATTTCTTGCACAGTGTGCTACATGCATTGATGTACATATCAATGATGCAATATTTCATGGACTTGAACCGACTTGAATTAATTATTTATATAGTTATAAGCAATAAAATATTGTTGGTACACATCCAACGGTTGCAGCTATTGAAGAAGATTTGCATCAATGTACAGCTTTCAGATCAACTGTTGAGACAATTGTTAGAAAGGCAAGAATGTTTTTTCTTTTAGTCATAACATTACACCACACAATACCCTATGTCATTCTGTAACCTTACAATGCCTCGATACAAACACCCTCCCCCTTTAACAGCTAAAACTCGAAGATATAATCCCCACTTTCTCAAGAAGTCTTTTTGCTTTTGTCCTCCACCATTTCTTATTGCAAAATGGTTTCAAATCCTTCCACACTAACGTATCCAAAAGGTTCTATTCCTGTTGAAGATCTATCACAAAGGAAAAGGGTCTGTTGATGTTCATTCAAACAGATGGATGCTTTGATCAAGGGTATGAAGTCCAGCTCCCCCACTTTCCATTAACTGTAAAGGAAAAGCCTTGTGAAGATTAAGTTGAGATAGTTTCATGTACATGGATGTAGGGGTTTTGTCAACTACACTAAATATTATCTGAACAAATCTGTATGCACATTGCATCTGCTGACATAAGACGGACCTTTCCTAAACACTTGATATTCAGATGATCTCAAAATATTACTATTAACGTGTCAATGATGCATTCTCCCAGTATCTACTTGTAAGGATAAATTATTAAAGATCTTATCATTTTCAAGCAGCAGGGCCCTGTTTAACAAAGGAACTTAGGACTAAAATTAAAAATGTTAAATAGTTTAAAGACATTACCAAATTAATAATTTTGTGAGATTATACTTGTATAAATTTTACTACTGAATATTTCTTATTCACACTGAAATCTCAATTTTATCAAGTCAACAACAAAATACACTGCAAAGTAAAATTTGGTCTTAGTCATAAGTTCTTTTGCAACCCAGATGACTTTATAGTAAATTTCAGCAGAATTTCATCAACATGCCCTCTGAGATCCTTGATTTCATAATTGATTTTTGCATATAACAAATTTCAAATTAGATTAAAAAGGTTTATTCATTCCTCATATTAACATATCCCAATCGAAAAATGAAGAGATAAATACATTCAGCACTACTTCTATTGAAAAGATAGATGTAATATAGATAAATAATTGCTACATGATCTAAATCAAATGGTGGCAACATTCATAGACTCATATCACAAGTGAGATCTGACAAGGGTAAGGAAATTTTACATTTTCTTACAAAAAAAAAAAAAAAAACCCAATGCCCTCTTTGAACATATCTATAGTGCTTCTATTTCTGGACACAAAACATTCTTTTACAAAAATCACAGACTTTAAATATGGCTTTAGCAATGTCAAGGTAACAGTTATTAAAATCTTCTAGACATAAATTTTACTGTACATATTAAATAATAAAATGTCTTTGAAAACTATCTAGAGAGAATAAAACATGCTCACTGCTGCAATATACAGTACTGTACATGTATGTGATTGTTACATTCGTACGAAATAAATAAATAGAGCAGAAATATAACATTCATGTAAACTTGTACAAGTCACTCAACACTACTTCACTATTTATTTAATCTTATAACCCTTAGCTAGAAACAGATAATACAAAGTAGAAATCGATAAATACATGTGATTCACCCAAAGGAAAGGATACACAATAACAATTATACTGTAGATGTTCATACATATCACAAAGAACAACTGCCATGGCTTCACCATGTTCACTAAGCATCACATTGCTTTTGGTTAAAAATCTACTTCTCCTTCTAAGCAGATTTTAGAAGAAAAAAAAATTGAATGGCAGAACAGGTAAAAATTCCATGAAAATGAAACAGGAATTAGATTATAACCTGCCACTGAGATTATCTCCCTTTGTATTGCTCCTCAGTCAAGGAAAGCTGTTGTAGTGTTCTTTGCACATTTAAACACCGCATTGATGAGTTTCACAAAGCCAGTGTCTTTGGGTTTCTCAAGTCCTCTCATTACCCTTTGCTTCATCACAGATACAAACTCTTTGTTGCTTAATTGCCCATCAGCTGAAAATAAACAGATTTGGGTCCAGCTTAAACACAATGGATATTATTCAATATACAATGACACTTTCAAACATGCGAGGGATTAATCAAAGTTATATAATATTTGTATAATATGTATAATATTCATTTCTTTAAAGAACTATCTCCTTGCTAAGAAAAGATTAATCCAAATTAAATTTTTTTTCTGTATTTTCATTTTCTTATATCCATGTATATTAAATGATTCATAGGGTTTGGAATACAACACAACAATCTAACACAGAACCTCTTGGAAGCCAAAATTTCTTTAATACATATACAGTCAAACCTCGTTATCTTGAACTCGATGGGACCAAGAAAAAACTTTGAGAAATCCGGGGATTCAAGGGTAAAATACTTAAAGAATAAATGACTTCGACATATCCATGGTATTTGAGATATAGGTGTTCGAGATACCGAAGTTCAACTGTATCTGTCAACCACAAAAATGTCACTGCTTCACCATTTTAAATTTCTTTATGATTAGTTCACTTTCAATTTTATGCTTTAGTCTTGATTTTCTGTAAACTAGTGTAAGTTGATGCAGTTGATCTTAAGTTGATCTTACCATTTTCATCAAACAACGTAAACACCAGCTCCACCACATGATCTGAGAGCTTGACCCCTGCCACTGTTGCTGCCACATGCTTCAACGTCTCTGTCACATAAGAATTAAATAAGATACTAATAATTAATTATTTTTCATGCAACGTTTATTTTATAAAGCTGTGCATCCTTCACATAACACTTCCTGTTAACTGTATATCGTAAGGGATGTTTACATGCTGCATACTGATAGCAATGCTCACTCACCTTCATCAATTGACACACCAGCTAGGTGATAAAAACTAAGGGCAGTGTCAACATCATTAATGCTTTTTAGGAACATCCAGAAGTTTAAGTACTCATCAAAAGTAATGCCCTGCAACAAATATTCAGTACATCATCAATATGTTCAGTAAATCAAGAAAATATTCAGTTACAGCAAATCAATACAAATATATGTATTATTCCATTCAAAGAAAAGGACAAAAAATTTTCTCTTTTCTTTCTTTCATGTAAAAAGGTAATATAGGCACTGAAGAAGTTATATCTGCAACTACAGTTGACAAAAAGACAACATTTATTATTCAAAATGTAAGATCTATATACAGTGAAACCTGTCTAATCTGACATGCACTTGGAGAAAAATTTTGTGTCAGAAAAAACAGAATGTCAGATTGCAGTGTAAAGAACATAGAAAACATTTAAATGGGAATTTAAGGATATACACAATGTAGTTTTCAACCTTGTTTTTTTTCTTCTTCCCTATATAATTTCAATAATTGAAGCACCTTTGAGCAATTTAATGATGCCTAATAATGCTGTACACTCCTCTGCATCAAATTTTGAGGAAATACCAGCTACACTTTAAAAAAAAAACCCACACACACAAGGATTAATTTTCATCATTTGATATCTATTCACAACTGGTAATGTATGCTGTTTTTTTTTTTTTTTTTGTCATAGAACATCTGATACTATTATGATTTTAAATAGAGAATATCTTGGAAAATTATCAGATGGAAAGGTACATTGTAAAGTACATGTACATTGCATATGACCTTTACTATGGGTTGGAATTCACAATGAAATGGATTGGACAGGTGTAAGATTAGTTTTCACTGTACATGTATTTCTCATTTCCAACATGACTCTTCTTTTTCTGAAAAATTATAACTCTTATGTTACAACCAACTTTTCAACTTTTTTTTTTTTATCCCACTGTCACTTTCTGCATTGATATAATAGGTTCCTAAATCCACCAAAATGGATTTTAATGATATTCCCCATTATGTACATCTAACCTGATACTAAAATCTTCGGTGGAATATACCCATGGCCCACTAGTATTTATACATTTATCCATCAGCCTTTTAAATCCTTTACATGTTTAGTTAGAATTTACTCGATGATTCTCACCTTAGGGTCCTCCTTGTACTTCTTCTTGACTCTCTTCAACATGCGAGATTTTTTCTGGTCTGGATATCCTGCGTATGTCAGAAGAATGCGACCAAAGTCTTTCTCTGAGATCTTCCCCTTCTCCTCATAGAGTGGATCATATCGGTCAAACTGTGAAACAGATTCAGCAAGCATGTAGAGTTTTCAACCAATTGCATCAAGTTTCAATGCAATAATTTTTTGACAAAGTTTATAATCAACTGGTATTAAAAAGATCATCTAATGATATTGTTCAGAATTTTCATAAAAATTATTCCTTCATTAATTGTATCTCAATTTGACTTGAAATATTATGTAAAAGTTGATGGCAGTGCTTTCAATTATTTTGCCAGAAGTGAATAGATGAATTTATCCATTTGAAGAGGCTGTTTTAGTATTATTTCCAATAATTTACTTTGCCAATTATGAAATTCAAAGCAATGGATTCCGATGATTGAAATGGTGATAAATTGCCTCCTGTTGCCCCTTTATATTGAAAGTTTTGATAAGGTCTTGGCCTCAAACTTACAAATTCTTACTACTTCTGTCCCAGTTTAAGACAATAATTTCCCCCAGTTTAACCTAATCCTGTTCTGGATTAAAGAGATATTTTTTTTCCAGTTTAATGAGATTACTTACCTCTATGCGTAAGACTTCATTTTGAAGTCTCTGTTGGAATGTGAGAAATTCTTTGACAGTGAGTTTCTTCTTTCCATCTGGACCAAAAAAGTAGTTCAGCAGGGCTGAGCCAACCCCCTTATTTACACTTCCTGTGACAACATGATCTTTGTGTCGTTTACCAATACTGGTTTGGTTTCTTATGATATCGTTGACCTATACAAAATGAATACAAGAATTTATGAATTTGATTATCATTTTGCATTAACAGAGTTTCATTTGAAAGAAATGATACTTATAGAGGAATATTAGTCATTTATCTCAGGGACAGTTAGCTCTCTTATCAGAGGGTCAATGAACCTTAATGATATATCTGGGATTTAAAATTTTAGTATTTCTGATCATTTTATATGTATGTTTAAATGTTCTTTAACTACTGGTATATACTTTTGAGAGTCAATAAACTAACTTTTTCAAACTCTTCAATGTCCACTTCACCATCTCCATTGAAGTCAAACATTTTAAATGCAATTTGAAAATTCCTTGGTGGTGCTGAAATATAAAAGAAAAAGTTGGTTTAATCCATGTACATTTATAAAAGATATTCTTTGATGATACTGGCAGTACATTTGATAAATAGTGACTAAGATTTTTTTTAAAATGCATGTCCATATATTTGTACATGTAGTTCTCTCTTTTTTTAACCTCCAATGTGCCCCTTTTCATAACAACTTCCCAAAGAGAACAGTAGGGGAGAAATATTTAACCTACTAGATAACAGTCAGGAGAAATATGTGATCCACTTACTAGAGAGAACAGTCAGGAGAAACATGTAATCTACTTACTAGAGAGAACAGTCAGGAGAAATATGTAATCAGAGAAGGAAATGAGACCACTCTCTCCCATCTGATAGAAAATGCTGTCCTCCCCTAGGTTCCATTCCACTTTGCTGTGCTGAAATAGTGTAGAAACACAATGACGTGAAACTGAAAATGGACCCATGGATGTGATCAAAATTAAGATTTATCTCTTATCTATGGACATATTTATATGAAAAGTATTTCATAAGTAAAATTTGACAATCATTTTAACTTATCATTACATAATCTATTCATAGCATGTAGTCTAACTAAGATGATCTAATGTATATTATTTAATTTATTAATGTGAAAGCAAGCAGTGCTGTACTTTTTAATTGTTTTATATAATAACTGTTTTTTAGATTATAAATATTATAAAATAACTGAATACATTAGGTACAACAGAGTTACACTACATGTATTAATTGAGAATAATGTAAAAAAAAAATATAAATAAATAAAAGATATGTAGGTATATTTATATCAAAATTTATGTACATTAAAAAAATCATGTCATGCATTAACACACACATATTTTTTGCGGATTTATTATGCAGTCTATCAAAGGTGAACTTCATTGTGGAAATGAAACACATGCCTGCTGTCAAATGTGATTTTCAATTGTGTTGAGGTCATTCCACAATACCGTAATTGGTCTTTTAAGAACCAACCTTTCGAAAGTGAGCACAGAAAGGTAGGAATGAAAACAAACTGGTGCACATGATGGCAATGCAATAGGTTTTATCAGTCTCATAAAAAGTTGTAGGTAAATTTAATTTTTTTCTTGTTGCATGTTTCATGCAGGTAACTTAAGTTGAAGTGGTCAGGCAAAGCATTTTGCATGGCAGCAATCAATGTTTACCTTTGATTGTAAGCACTAAAAAATTCTTCATTTCTAAAGTCAATTATTTTAATATATCAGACATGTACTAGTGTGAAGAGTATTAAGACCTCAAATTCTAGTACCAAAGTAAATACGTACATGTAAGGAATTTTTCGTCACACAAGTCAGATAATTAGCTTAATATAACACAATCATGTATACATTTTGTCATTTAACACACATCACTTTGAAACACAGTGGTATTAGCAAGACCACCACAATGAAGGCAATATGGTTAGGGCCTCATACACTCTAATGATAGTATCTAAAGTTGAATTCAATACACCATTTTTACTTATATTATGCATATCAACTAAACTAGATTCCTAGTAACATCTCAATCTGATTATGACTTTTATTAGGGCCAGTGGCCCACAGACAGAATTACAGCATTTCCACTTGTTTCTCCTTTCAGATTTCTTTACAAAGCAAAAACAGACTAAACATGATGGGTGGAGGGCAAAATGAAAAGATGGAGATTTTGGATCTCTTATGAAGTACATTAAATTGTGTGGAGGAGGTCAAATGTCATGTTATTTTTCTGTGACTGGAGGGTGCAGTGTGATAGAAAGACAAATTTCAAATTCTAAATAAATATACTTCATGATTATTGTTTTCCTGAAAGAAAATTGAACACCCTATAAGCTTGGTCAATGATACTTATAATCAAAATCTGACAAAGTTGGATTTTATTAAATGTTTGTATTGATATACTGTATACTCAAAGACAAGAATATATACAATTTCAGATACACACAAAAATATGAACAGCTACACTCTGTATGGGCATTCCGAGCTATGACAGGCTTGCTTAACTGATTACATGATGTCATTCTACAGCAAGCCTTGCAAAACTCACCACTTTAAGCGGACACAGCCTCGGCACACTTAAGATTGTTTTCTTCTGTTGAATACGATCGGATAAGGGTGAGAATATGACAGGTGACATGGCATGACATGAAAGATGCTTAACAGTGTGACAAAATGGCATTCAAATACAAATGCATGTTATGGGATTCTAACTGTTAAATGATCTTAAGGCATTAAACAACATAAGTGTATGAAGGAGATCCCAACTGTTCTGTCCCTTTGTAGCTTCAAAATATTTTAAGATAAGAAATAACTGTAAACACTATGCACCCAGAAAATTAAGAAGGAAAAAAAAAAATACATAAATAAATAAATAAAACCTACCTTTACCTCTCTGACAATTTTTCTCTATATAGAGAGTATATGTAGTTTCAAGAGCTATCAAAAGATTTCAAGAGTTCCTGACTCAACGCAAGCTCAGTTACAATATTTTTTGTCATTGGTTAATGAAACAAAGACATGAAAATGATGAAAAAAATCAAGCACTCAAGTGATACTTAAGACATGTGATGTCTTATCTATGAGAATTACTTTGACCTTGAACTCTATCGACTCTGACCTTGAACTTACATGGTAGAAGTTAAATCTGCACATCTATGTTTTAAACAGTAGAAATTTCAATTATGAAGTTTTCAAAAGGTTAAAGCTTTGGTCAAAGCTGTGAACACAGATACTCAGAAAGTAAACCATATTATAAATGTTCCCAATGATGAATGCATTTAGTTCTGTTGATTACATAAGCATTCTGAATTACTTCAGGGCTTCTAAATACCATCTACGTGTACAGTGGCTCCCTAATCTATACACATACCGGTACATTTGACTTTTTTTGCCCATTCTCAAAAATAATAAACATTATAAATGTCCAAATAGTGTGCATAAAATCAAAGCTTAACTATATGCAAGAATTACAAGAAATTCCTTTGTTCAACAGTTACATATGTATCATCTTCAAATAAAAATTCCTTTCAGTAATAAAGCAAAAATATACAGCAGCACATTTAAAGTTTAGTAAAACAGCACCGTGATTGAAATTTGAACTGCAAAGCATCAAATATTTATTAGTAGAGATAACAGTTAGTATAAAACACAGGGCAGATGTTTCCACTGTAGATATTATGTTACTTCTATAGGTAAAGGTTACGATTACATCGAGGACGTAATTCAAGAATTTCTCAGATTCATGGTCATATGTTTTTTTTTTTTTTTTGCGGGATATGCCAACAAAATGTGTAAGTATTTAAAAGTTAATGATTATTTTTATATCAAAGCTTAGTCATCAAACTGATTTTGTCTAAACAGGGGGCATGGAATTAATATACTGTACTGTAATATCCCAATGAAATAGAACAGGATAAAAAAAGAGCCAGCACCAGAAAAAAGTTTCCTTACAAGAAGTACAATACAGCAAAGTTTATTCATCACTAAATAAAGTATATTGCATTGTGTACAAAAAGATAGATGATGGTGTGCAAATAAAATTTAATGTATATTTACTGCTATTCTCTATATATTATCTAAAGTTAGCTACAAACATCTGCCCTCTTCTTTATTATAATTGTCAATATGCAAAAAAAAAAAAAAAAAAAAAAAGAACAGAGAAATATTTGAAGCAACTCACCAAGATTTGCTTAAAATCTTCTGACTTAGCCAAGACAGATAGAACAAATACTTAGTACTGTACATTACTTAGCTAATTTCAAAAGAAAATTTATTATTCACAAAATCCCCATGCAAATAAAAAGGAATATTTTTAAAGTCATCTTTTTAACTAATTAACCAAATGATTTAATTTCAACAATACAGCGTTCACTTAGCAGCTTTAAATCGTAAATTTGGATTTTCAACAAAAATAATCTTAGTTTTATACATTAATTATAAAGCAACATAGCAACAAGACAAGAAACAATCTATCTGTGCATGTATATTTTAAACTAACAAAGGCAAAACCATACTTGCTGTGGCTAATATAAACTGCATTAACATTATATAAATAGTGCACGTTTTTGAGGGTAACAGTTGAAATTGACACCCCAAGGAAAACCATTGTCAACCGACGCGTCCGCGGAGGTTGACAATGGTTTTCCGAGGGGTGTCAATTTCAACTGTTACCCTCAAAAACGTGCACTATTTATTTTATTATACTGAATGTCTTATTGATTTCGGATGTCATAAAAAAAAATCGGAGATCGTCGTTAACTTCACGCTTAGAAAGCTTTCAAACTCCCGCTTCTATTTTTCTCAATAGGAAAGCTTCGTAAAAGATTTACCAACCTCTTTATTATTTGTTTGCTACTCAAAAAGTCCTTTATCACCTAAAGTTTGCACTCGCAAGGATGTTTCGTCTGTCGTTTGTATTTTTCAAGTAAGCTACATCGGACGCAAGCTTTTACTGACGTCGTTTATTCGGCTTCTTTCAAACGCACAACCGACGTTTTGAGAATTCTACGGTGAACCGTACGCGCATGATTTAAACGCATGTGATATTTTCGTAATGTTACCCGTTGTCAAGTGTGTTGCTAACGCTGAGGGTAATATTACGGATTGTTAAATGTGTCTAAACCAATCAGATTTTAGTATTTAACATGAAAGTATAATAATGAGCAATATCTGCTAGTAACAGCTGGTGTCTGCCATAAATTCAAACTCTAACCTATTCAAAGTATTCTTTCAGTGTGTACTTAGCTACATATGATGGAAGGATTTTTTTAAATTACTTCTTCCTACACCACTGAGACTCAGTGAAATGGTAATATATCTTCTCACGGCCGTTGTATCTCAACTTAATGTAATGATAATCATTGAAACTTACAAAATTAAATGTCAGTAATTTTCAAAGAGGGTATGATAACTTTGTTATGGTCAATAACATCAATATACATTGCATAAACATGTACATAACATTCAATTTTTTTTTATCTTGATGGTTCATAAGTTGGTCTATTACATCAAGCTTTTGCAAAGCTAGCAACAACAGAGCCTATTTTATTCACTTGAAGATACCCTACTGGCAAATAGGACTGAAACATAATCATGCCCATGTCACAATTACAGAACTACAGAACCACTCAAAATATAACACCTTATATGCTTAGCACATCATTTATTGTATTGTAACAGGAAAAATATTTTTCAGAATGAAATTCTAAACATATTTGTTTGATTTTTATTGGTTTTTGGAACAAACTACATACACATTATTTTTTTGTTGATTGTTTTGGGTTCAAAATTTTTACCTGCTAAATACTGTCAGAGTTGAGATTCAGAGATTTTTTTCCTGTGTAGAATTAGTTGATTGAAATTTTTTTTTAGTTTTTGAGAGCACATTGAAAGAGGCTTTTCTTCTTTTAATTTATGAAGGGGATATTTCTAACATTGTTATGGATATGCATAGATAAATGTACACATATGCACAGTGTTTGTTTGTTAGAGGGCTCTTAATAAGGAATAAGAAGCTAACAATAAATTTACTGCCATAAGAAAAAAAAACAGTGTTAACATGGTTAAATTCCTAGTGTTTTCTATAATAAAAAATATTGTGACTAGAATTTTGCTGATTTTAATAAACTGGTGACAATGTGAAAATTAGAGTAGATTACAATATAATTCTGTCTTTAACAATCCAACAATAAAGTATATCCTACCTGAGGATCAAACTTGATAAATCTGTCCAAGTCCAGTCCTACAAAATACAAGGAAATCAGATTTAACTGTGACCTCAGTTATCTCTTTACATTTATATTTACATGTAGTATTACTTTTTATGCTGTATCTCCTTCAATTCTTGATGACAATCAAAACATTTCTTAAAAACAAGCTAAATAAATTAATACGTAAATCTTTTTAAGGTTGGAACACATGGTAAGGCTCGACTTACAAATCGTAAGATTTACATGATTATAAACAACATTTCCATAATTTTTTGTATTTTTTCTTTAGGGAGAGAATATGTAACCTTCCTAATTGCATAAGTGCAATTAACAAAAAAAAAAAACCCAAAACAAAACACATTACCATAAGAAATTGTTGGGGGAGCTGATACTGTTTTTAAAATGAATTTACTTTCTGAAAAAAATACATGTATCCCCATAACCTTCTTACAAATTCTTTGTAAACCTTACCCTCAGGCTGTTTCATCCCTGGGGTAATGGAGCGAACAAAGTCCTCGGGAGTCATGTATATTTCCCAGCCTTTGTCTTCCCCATGGTGTACTTTCAGAGTAGCAAAATAGCGGAAAATCTTATCAGGGGTTGAATAGGCTCGGATTCTATTCTCGTATTCTATAATCTGTAAATAAATGGTTGTGAACATTACAATTTTACATGGTTGAAGCAGTTAAATTGTAAAATTGCCTTAACAGTAACATGAATTTAAATATATCTCCTGCATTCACTATTTTTTTTCTTACATTAAATCCTACTATTTTTTTTTAAAGGCAAGTGTTATATTGTGCATCTGATCCCTAACTCATATTCCCCCAACCAGATTCTGCAAATTCAGCAACATATATGTACCAGGGAAGATTCATTATTGTCGTAAAAAAATGTAAGTATTTATATTTGAAATTTAACTCATCCAAAAACTTTTGAACCCCAAGGTTACTTTTGTATTTAATACATCCTTAAATACATTACTTAGGTATTCATACTTGCAGAAAAAAAACTATATCCCAAATTTGTTATATATACTAGTATTTTAACAAATTTGTTCTATGGATCAAATTACAAATACAGTGTATAGCAAAGAAAATTTGCAGGTCCCCTGGAGTTCACTATAAACAGGTTTTACTGTAATCCTGTATGCAGACAAGGAATATTGCTCACTCTCTTCTCCCTGAAGCCAATCTTCTTTTTCTTGACCTCTTCTTCCCCCTCCCCATCTTCCTGGTGTCCCACGGCCTCAGGTTCTGCTGCATTCACACTAAAAAAAAATATTCATTCTACTGAAAATTCTTATCTACCTCAAGACTTTTTAGAGTATTTTCGTTTCCAGGTGTCTCAGGAAAAAATATAACATTATAATCATCTGAAGGTGTTATAAGTGCTAAAATCTTAATTTATCAGCATTACCTATCAATATCTGTTACACAAGAGACCTATACTGCTTATCTGAGTTGAAAACCTAAAATCATTTTCTTCACCTAAAAGCTCAAATAGTGTGGTGAAAACATTAAAATTCCCATTAATTTATACATACCTTTTATTTTTTGATTTAAAAAAGGAAAAGTCACCATAAAATCTATGAAAAAAAAAGTTTTAAAAATTCATGATATCACAAAATTAAAATGTGTAATCTACATACATGTATATGAATTACCCATCAGATGGAGATGTAATTTAATAAAAAATTTTGCTTTATATTTGCATATTGATATCTTTTTAAATCATTTTTCTTTTTATATATTAAAAAAAAAATTCTTATTTAAAAATTATCTAATAATCTGTATAGTAAGGACATCTCAAACTAGCAACACAGATGTTTATTTTAAGCTAATAGTTAAAGTTAAGAGACATACCCTACAAAAGAACCAAGAATGATTAACCCCATTGTGAGAACGTAAATTGTGGTCCTTTTGGAAAAGCGTGGTCTGGGTGATAAACCACTGTAAGATGCCCCTCTCCTTATCAGCAGCAAGGATGTGGTTCTGTAAAACCTGACAGGTTGTAAGCTCACAATGGACAATGGTGGACAACTACTGCTCACCAACCAATGTGACACATTGTCTCTGCAAAGGCCTTTTTGCAGCTCTTTGGAAGGCAGTCCAACAAATAGTCTGCTTTTTCCACAAGCAACTGGAAGCCTAGCAGCTCTCCACATCTTTTAATGTTGTGAAAAATCTACAAATAACGGTAAATGTAACATGTAGGAACAATTACAGAGGAAACTAACTAAAGTCTGCAAATTTGTAAAGCAATTTTTGTGTGCAAGTACCATAGAATTCCTTCCCTTCCACAATTCAAAGCAAAAATGGGAAAAAAAAACAAAAAACCCAGACGCGACCAAGATTAAGTTCTTTTGGTGAGCTCAAGGAAAAAATAATAATTACGTCTTCTCTTAAAAAAAAAGTCAATGCCTTTCACTCAAAATTTCCACTCTTTAGCCTCCATAATGGAAGTGCAACTAAAATATATGAAAAAAGATGTGACACTATACGCTAGACTTAGTGCACAGACCTTCAATCTTCCAGTATGTCATAAAAGGTTTGAAAAGGAGGATCAAAGTTATAAACATGTATACATAGGTATTTGATGGTATCGACTCAATAATCAGATGTAATTGATTGCTTTTAAAAAAAGCTGTAATCAGCTTGTAATCGATTACATGTACTTTTAGAATCCAAAGTAATTGTAATTTAATCAATTACTTTTGAAAGTAATTGACCCCATCCCTGGTATCGAGCAAAAAATATGACAGGCATTTCATGTTTTGTAGTTGTACATGGGATTTATTTCACGAGTGGAATAGTAATTTTTTTTTTATTTTCACTAAGCAAAGATATGATTACATAAATATGGAAAATATGAAAAAAATTAAACAACCTCAGATAAATTAGATCCTAGTTTGTTCAAAACATGACACTTGGGGGAGGGGGGGGGGGGGGGCTAGAAGAGGCAAACAAAGTTTTATGTATGAATATAAAGGAGAAAAAAAATCTGCTGATGAAGAGTGGCAGGGCCATATTGACTAAGGTGAGCGAAGATGTGGTCCATGGGCCTCTTATTTTTTGAACTTGATAGTTTTTATCAGAGAATTTTCTGGACAAAAAATTTTGTTTGTCATAATTTCATGCACCTGACAAATAGATGGTGTAACCCCCCCCCCCCCCCCCTCCCCGATGGAATATATGTTTAATAGGCTAAGAATTCAGGTATTTTTGATAAGTGATCATGTATGATAAAAATTTTCAGAGAGTTGGGGGGAGGGGGGTAGAGGGGGGTTTAAACCATCCATTCACCAGGTGCCTGTGATAAATACTACTGCACTCATCTCACGGTCTCGGTGAATACACCATCAAGCATATAACTATTATTCACATGAAGAATTGATTTGTTAGCCTTATGCTTAAATATGCTACAATGCAGTGATTTCAGGTAGACACCCATTTTGTAATGTTTATTATACAAACGTGTCCCTCTTATTTGCCCCGAATAAATATACCAAATTGAATGTGAAAAGTTCACAATAATGAACATGGGGGATCATGTATCTAGGACGAGTTGACCTCATATCATATGCAAACCTGCCAGGAGGGATATTTGGCAATCATACAACGTTATGCATTAAACATACATTTTTTTCGTAAATCAAGCATTACTTGCAATTTTCTGAATAGGTTAACATTAAACCTTAACCTGTTTACTGCATGGAAAATTATGTATATTTTCCTAAAAGCAGGTTTTTTCTGGCCAGTAGCCTAACAAATTTTTCCTCCCGTCTTCGATGTTATTCGTCAATGTCAAACTAAAGCTTGAAAGTTCTCATGATAACATGGACATCCTTATAAACACAACAGTGACCAAGATCAACAATGAAGTGCGTGGATTTTGACCAATCGCAATAAAGATTGCATTTATTTTCCCGCCATATTGTGTAGCTGTAAGATTTGGCGCCAGTCAGCATAATAAAGAGAGCAAGGAAGGAGCAGGACAACCACGACAAAGATTATTTTTCCGAAATTGAAAAGGGCATCTTTCAACTACAGCTGATCACCAGTTCTTTTTATTATTTGTGCTTTATTTATTGCTTGGATTAATTTATTTTCACTTTCCATCATGTTTGAGGCAAGGCTAGTTCAGGGTTCTTTGTTAAAAAAGTTGATGGAGGCAATTAGAGACTTAATCCCAGAAGCTATCTGGGATTGTAGTGGAACTGGCATCACACTTCAGGCTATGGACAATTCACATGTTGCACTTGTGGCAGTAAATCTCAGGAGTGATGGCTTTGAAACTTACAGATGTGACAGAAACTTGTCAATGGGGATGAGTTTAGCAAGGTAAAAAGAAACAATGTGGTGCTAAAGAATTATTGTTTATCTACCTATCTATCAGTCAAGCTAATGGTAACAAAACTGGGGTCAATAGTTTGATTTTTGCATGGTATTGGTAATAAAGAAGAACGAAATTCAACACTTCTCTATTTTCTCTTCGAAAAACATTTGTCGTGGATGTGAATTCAATTATAAAGATATTCCAGTACCAGTTATTGACAAGTGGTATTTGTATTTCAGCATGTCTAAAATCCTCAAGTGTGCAAGCAATGATGATGTCATTACATTGAAAGCTGGGGACAATGCAGACACTGTAACATTCATGTTTGAGTCCCCAAGTAGGTATCCACTGACTTGGAAGTCTGAGATGAAAATTTTCCAATTATAGCAGAGTAAATGATCATTGTACATGTCATTTCTTACAGATAATGAGAAGGTTTCAGATTACTCTTTGAAGTTACTGGATTTGGATTGTGAACAACTTGGAATTCCAGTGAGTATTGTTTAAATTTCTTAATTTGACATGATTTCTGCTTGTTATCATAGAATGAAATACAATAATCACTTATTTTACAGGACACTGAGTACAGCTGTGTTGTAAAGATGCCCTCCCATGAGTTCCAGAGAATCTGCAGGGATCTGAGTCAGATTGGAGAGTCTGTGGTCATCTGTTGCACAAAAGAAGGCGTAAAATTTTCAGCTAGTGGAGATTTAGGAACAGGTCAGTAGAAAACCCTATAGAGAAAATTGTCTTTATAGCACATTTGTAAAGATTGTTATAAAAACACATTTGCAAAATTTTCTCTTATTATGTATCTTTGAAAACGACACAAGGTTGTGACCATGTTGTTACTTAACAATCAATCATAATGAAAAATCCCGAGAAGTAGAAAACCCTATAGAGAAAATTGTCTTTATAGCACATTTGTAAAGATTGTTATAAAAACACATTTGCAAAATTTTCTCTTATTATGTATCTTTGAATTGTTTTTCAGGGAACGTTAAGTTAGCACAGAATGCTAGCGCTGATAAAGAGGAAGAAGCAGTCATTGTGGAGATGAACCAGGCTGTCACTTTGACCTTTGCCCTTAGATACCTCAATTTCTTCACCAAGGCAACTCCTCTATCAGCTCAGGTCAGCCTTTCCATGTCACAGGATGTCCCTCTTGGTGAGTACTTTATTTGATTTTTAATTTAATTTACCTCTGAAAGACTAGCAACTCACTCTCTAGGCTGTTAAAGCACAATCATGAAATTCAGATTTACAGTAGAACATCCAGAAAATAAGTAATAAAATGGGAAATCTTTCAAACAAAATTTCTGATATTAAGTTATAAAGTAGCATGAATTTTTTACTTTATATACTGGACTAATTATTGTACTTTATTTGCAGTTGTTGAATATAAGATTGCTGACATGGGATTCTTGAGATACTACCTAGCTCCTAAGATTGAAGACACAGATGAGTGAAAGAATAAATTGTGATAATGACATTGATTATGAAATAGACAAAGACTTGATAAAAATTCACATTTTTGGTATAATGAAATGTGGAATAGTGATAAATAAATGTATAATGGGTTTTTTTTTTCATTTATTATTGACTGCGAGAGAGAAGGATTCAAAATGCAAGTGTTTCCTCATACAATTGCTAAGAGGTCCTTGAATAAATGTCCCTATATAAAGTCTTCACTTTGGCTGTGATGAGCACCATGTAAAAAAGACTAACGTTTTGTGAATTGCCAGTCTTTTGATTAGTCTGTGTATCAAAGAGGAATAACTCTTAGTAATTGTACAGCAAGATATATGACATTTTTTTGGTTTAATCTCTCAATAGCAGTACCCTTAGCAAGGTGTTGGATTCTTGTCATTGAAAGACAAATATTTTCAATTATGCAGTAATGAAAGAATGTTTTCTGTTGTAAACTAAAGCTACCTGTGAAACAGGATTAAAAAATCTCGAATCTGTAATTATTGTATACAGCTGTATTATAACTTTTGGGAAAAAGTGCTAGTCTGAGACTTGTTTTAGGTAATCTAAGCACAATCATAACTATTGCTACCTGATCCTGTCTGTCATTGTGTGCTGTTTTTCTTGCATGTTCTCTAAAAATGACAGCAGCTGTTTCAGCCATTGGTATATACACAAATATTGGTAAAAGATAAGATTTATTGAAACCAATACCAAAGTAATACAGAAAAAAAATACTGGTACCATCAATCTGACATGGAAAAAAGATTTATATATTTGTAAATGGCAATAAAATATGTAATACATACAAAGACTGATCGATAGATTGATTTTTGGTATATAAAAATGGACATTATATACCATATTGTCACCTTCATTTTAAATAGAGACTGATGAGAAAAGGGGCAATAAATTTTTTTTACAAAGGTCTCCAACATGAAAGGGACGATGGTTGTGAACAGCTGAAAAATGAAAGAAATAAATATTGTTTAAATGCTTCAAAAGAAAGAAGTAAACAAAGATAATTTAAAACAAAGTAAGGAGATAAAGGGTTGTTTTAATTGAATTTACTTGGGTGGATGTAAATACCAAAAATACAACATGCAAAGTCTGACTTAGAAAAGAAATTAAACGAAGTATGAAATGTAAAATACTCATGAGATGATGAATCAAAGACTATTCTTGATTATGTTTAGTGGTAAAACATAAGTAACTCACCACGCCAATGGCGGATTCAGGAATTTATATCAAGGGGGGGGGGGGGGGGGGGAGTAGAGTCCATACCAACACGAAATTAAATTAAAGGCAGAGACTCGGTTCAATTTCGTGTGTGTCGGGGGGGGGGCTTCTCTGGAGACTTCCGTGTGGTAGTGGTTCAAAGTCATTTTTTGGTCATTTAAATATATAAAGATTTGATAACTCTGTAGATCCCTTGGGGGGGTCTATAAATTTCTTGATAAAAAAAATACAATTTTACCTACTTTACCAAAAAAAAAAAAAAAAAAAAAAAAAAAAAGCGGGTAAGGGGGAGGGGTCCAAGATTACTTATTTTGTTATTTTACTAAATATAAATTTCGAGGTCCAAAAATCCCACAGGGGATCGCGGCTTAGCCCCCCCCCCTTTTTTTTTCAAAGATAGCATAATATAGGCATTGAAAATTGGGGCTTATCTTTTTCCGTTGGTTTACCCCCCCCCCCACTTTCAATTAGCCAGCCCACTTTCAATTTGCTTCCGGCGCCTATGCACTGGATCTGCTACTGCATTCATTTATAAAAGAGAAAAGGGGGTGGTTTCTTATTCTAGCCCCGAAGACCTATATAAATATTAATAAATAATTAAGAAGAATTACAGCCTGACATTTATTTGCATCAACTTATTACTTTCTAACAATAAACTAATTATAACCGGGTTTTTTTTACACCCATCTGTACATGTTTGAAATATTTCTTAAGGACTAATGACCCTCTGCTCTAAATTTCACATTTTTTTTAAAAACTTCCCAAAATTTGATTTTCATCAAGATCTATAGCATTATCATTAGTCCTTTTTAGGGGGACGAAATCTTAAACTCGGTATTTTACGCAGTAGCCAAATCTTCTGTTGAAATGCGATTGGTACATTAGTAGATGAGCATTAAGTTCTCTAAATTTTCATTTTCATCCCGGGGGCAAAAGACATTTTTCTACAAAAACCTGGTTCCCTGAACCACTCTTACTTTTTAGGCAGTAGGTAAATCATCTTTTTAAATTTGATTGGTAGTGTCCTGCATTTAGATATGCAAAAAGGTTTTGGGATTGCATTTTCATCCTTAAGGTCAATTTGTGGCTAGAATTTTAAAACGTTTTTTTACGTGCTGGTATTACTGTCGACTTACGACAGCATCTAAGGCTGCAAGGCCGGTTATATTTTCAAAATTAATTTCTAAGTTACATGTGTACTAATTTGAAATTTTGAAAAGTTTGTTCTCAGTTTATGGCCTTGAGGCCTGGTTTTCAAAACTCCACTCACATTTTAAATTGTAGCTAAATCATATTTTTGAAAATGATTTATTATGTCCTGGGGATATGCAAATAAAGTTTCGGAATTTTCATTTTTCATCCTGGGGACCAAATGAGGTTTTGCAAAGTAATGTCTTTCCTGGTAAAAATTTCATGATATTTTAACATGTTTTTTGAATTAGCAAAAGCATTGCTTTGTTTGTTGTTTAACGTCCCTCTCGAGAATTTTTCACTCATATGGAGACGCCACCACTTGCCGGTGGAGAGCTGCAAATTTTGACCTATGCTCGACACTCAGGGCCATTGAACAGTGAGGGATCTTTTTCGTGCCAGCATCTACTGCGACACGGAACCTCGGTTTATACGGTCTCATCCGAAGGACCGGTCTCCATGATAAGTTATCATGTTGTAAATTTCGTATTTACTGCCACCCGGTAAATTCAAAATTTACAACATGATATACGGTACAATGCTAAAGCACTCTTATATTTATTTGCATCTATAATGATGCTATAAAGCAAGCGACACAAACGTTCCTTGGAACACTCTATAGTTACTGCTAATCATAAGAAATTCCCATCTGTAACGAGAAGGACATACTTTTGAGATCTTGAATATTGACACCAAAGAATTTTAAATGGAAATTTCGTGTTTTCATATTATACAAATACTTTAATTGATCTACATTATAAAGGCGCCTTAAAAAGCAGGTCGTGTCTCGGAAGGCTTTGGCACGATGAAGAACCCTCACTGCTCAATAGCCCTTAGTGCCAAGCAAAGGTCTAAATTTGTAGTATTTCACTGGTCTCTATACATGAGTGAAAAATTCTCGAATGAGACATAAAACAACATACAATCAATCAATCAAGTCAGATGTTATACGTGGATTGATCCAAAAGTTATGTCACGTACTACTGCTATCAAATTCTTTATTATAATGGAAGATCATCAACAAAATTTTATATACCTCATTCCATTTTGCTTGTTGCCTTTTATTTCATTCTGATATATTTAATACTTTTAAAATATACCCTACGTTAGTTAGGTGTCGTATACCGCTGCACGACAAACATAACTGAGGTCTTTATATGACGTTACTTTTCGGCACTCGAATTTTAGTTCATCCACAGATCTATTGAATATCTCACGTGCTTTTTAATTATCATGCTTTTCGAATACTCTTTTCTTAAGGAGCAAGGTCAGTCAGATATTTTATTGAGGGGCACACATATAAACTAGCTATACGTTTTCTATAGTATGCCATATATCACCAAAATTATTGGGGCAGCCTCAACCCCCCCCCCCCCCTTTTCGCTGGTTTACATGTTACTGTCGTTTTCTTATAAAAAAGTATCACTCTTAGTTGTTTTATTAAACTTATTAGAATTGATCAAAGTTGATTTACCTATTCATTGTGCGTAATCTTATGTATGGTCGGATTCAAGAGTACAGTTACATTAGGAGTTTACTGATCGTCCCCGCATCTTCTTTTCCTTTGTTGGAATGTAGAAAAGATTGATAACCTATGAACCACCAAGACATTTTAACTCTAAATAAGGGAAATGATAAACTTTGCACTGGCGGATTTAGAGGGGGCAGGGGAATCGGGCCCCCTTTTGTGTCCAAAATATACATAAGATTTAATAAATCAATTTTTTGGTGTGGCCGTGGGCCCCTACCCCGCCCCCTAACTGGTCGCCCCCCCCCCCTTTTAAGATTCCTGGATCCGCCACTGCTTTGTAAAGAAAAGAAAATGCATAAAATACTTTTGTAAATGAAAGTTTCAAGAATACACAGACGCAAGGAAGAAGTGCGTGGAGGACCATCCAACCTTTAACGTAACTTACTCTTAAATCTGACGCTAAGTTAGATTTACGCACAGCGGCATAAAAAAAAAAATATTTAAAGTTGGCAGTGTAGAATAAAGAAAATGTGTATAGATTTGTGGATGAACTGAAAATGATTGCCAAAAGTTTCGTCATGAAGACGTCAGTTACGTTGTTGTCGTGCGGCGATAGACGAAACCTCACTTTTCTGTTTATATTTAAAAAAATATTTTATACAACTGATTGGAAGACTTAGGTAGCAGTCAAAATAGATTGTTGTCTGGACTGTAATTGGTTCTTTGTTCAAAGTTCCTCTAAGCTGTGTTTTTCTGACAGAGTAAGGGCTACTGGAGATACTTAAACACTTTCACAGTGTTAGTGAGCTGCCCTACGTAAACATTATTGTCATCATCTGCACATACACTACGGGGAGATTCTACTCTTTGTTGTTTTGAGAGAAGATAAGACAAAAACTGACCATCCTGGTCAAGGAGGTGAACTCTATTACTGAATCCATCACACACAAGGATATGACCCAGGATATCAGTACAGATTCCGTAGGGCCAGATACTTGACTCTTGACCTGTGTATGAGAATCTATGTTGTCCTGATTTATTCACCACTACGACTGCCTCTTTAGGATAATCTGATATACAAATGTCTCCATTGATGTTTTCTGTGATGCACCGTGGTTCACTGAACAGTTTCTGACCTTTGTCATCCCTCTGTATGTTTTGTGTTTCTGTTCCTGCTTTATTGTACCTGGCTACTTTAGCCTCTTCTTTGCCATAGTTTATCATCCCCACCAGTATGTCCCCATTGATGTGTGAGAAGTATATGCTAACTGGTTTCCAATCTCCTGTTGTAAAAAATGTTGATATTTTGTTATTCATTTCTATTCTTTTAATAAGCTTGTTGGTTTGGTCTGTAAAGATTAGATCCCCCTCCTCTGTGACAGTGTGGTAACCATGTCCACCACTAGTTCTTACCCTCTGTAACTGATTACCCTCTCGGTCTGTTTGGACAAGATTGCCACTATAGTCACTGACCCAGAGTCTGCCTGATTGATCTAATGATATATGGCAGGCACTACATACGCCTAGTAAATTGAATTCCCTGACTTTAGTGACACAGGAAGAAAGGGAAATTGTTTTTGTCACATCAGACTTCATATATCTGTCTTGTTCTGACTGTTTTCTTGTAGATTTCGCAGACGCTGAGGATGGAAAACCTTCCATCGGCTTTATTTTTCTCATCTCTTCCCTTGCCTCTTTAACACTTATTTTACCAAACAATTTAGAAACATCATCTTTGCTGTATTGACCAGCAGTAAATACTGGAATTGCTGGTTTTGATGTCTCTGGTATATTTCTGATTTTCAGATTCTCTTCTGAAATTTCTGGAATTAAAATTGTGAGCTCTGTTGAGGAAAGGAATCCTTGAAATTTTTTGACAAGGTCATTGAGATAGTTCATGTAATCTGTAAACATCTGGCCCTGGTTCTTTAATTTTTCATTCATTGTATACTCTATTTTGTTTAGTATTTCTGTATTTTCAGCCAATACTTTATCGACCGTGTTTTTGAGAGACTCAGCTTCAACCTTCATTGATGTCCGTATGCTCTCCATGATCTTCTTTATTTCTGTTTCATCCCGTTTAATTTCTCTTTGTAGATCTTGTGACGTAGGTAGAAAATATTCATGGATTTTATAGATTCTCTCTTGGCATAGTGTAAACTTTTCTGCATAAATTGTCTCTAAACCAACGAATTTATGGCCTCTGTGATCTTGCACTGTCGTACACTTAGAACATAAAGGAATATTGCATTCAACACAGAGAATATTTATTTTCTTTGTCTGATGAATCTTGCATTTCTCCACCGGAAGTCGTCGTTTGCGTTGTTGGTATAGAACAACGTGATGGTTCTTGTTTTCTGCACCTTTCAGATGTTGGTTTCTGCATTGATTACACATCCGTTGATGGCAAGAATTGCAATAAAATTCACAGTTTGTCTCACAGTCTTCAGTGTCGCACTCCAGAAAGTGTTGGGCAGTTCCTGGTATACTGGGTTTGAATATCGCCATCTGAAAGCAGCACAGTATGAATATACCTTCCATACATATTTGAAAAACTACACGTGTATTTATTTTGAATTTTAAAAAATGAGTTTACTAAGCTAAACAATGTCGTAAAACTTTGAATCACAGTCAAAACGTGACCAACTTAGCACACGAATAACATGAATAAATTCTTGAGACTATTTATAATCATTTTGTTAAAAAGGCACCGAGTACACATATAAGGTATATGCTATCCCGAAAGCCTGCAATCATTCATTAAATTGGCTTTAATTTAAATGACACAAGCAGGGGTAGACAAATAGAATTTTTTAGAACTTGCCTTCGGACAGGTTACCATCTTAAAATTACTTGTCCTGCCCAAAGATATGCTTGTCCCACCTTTTTCTTAAATAACACTAGAATTAGAGGAATTCCTACCAAGTATTCGATGTAGTCGTCAACTGCATTGAAAACATATATTCTGCTGTGATTCATTATATTTTAGCAGCAGTAAAACAAACAACATTTGAGTTTATGATTTTTTGTTAACTGGAAAAGCACTTGTCCATGGGCAGGTATCAGTTATCAAATAACTTGCCCGTCAAACAAAATTGGTTGTCCCGGGCGTCGGGCAATGCTATTTGTCTAGCCCTGACAAGAATATAAATTCTTGAATACTTACTTTTTCTGTGATTGAATTTGCCAGGTATGAAAGAGATTGTAGATGTAAAGTCAATGTAACATGTCTAATCCTGTCTTTACCTGACATAAAAGGTAAAAAAGGTAACTCCAAAATGGAGTTATCTTTCTTTACACTTGTTACTGCACCGAACTTACCATTTGTTAGTGACCTACTTATATTATCCATTGTCTGCTGTGTTCTTGCTTCTCAGATAGACGAACTCTAGCACATCTTTATCTGTATTTTGAGTTGCAGGTTCTGAAGCTCTGGTATTGATCTTCACGACTTTTGATCTTTCGTGTGTTGATTGCAGCAAGATTATTTATTTTCCTTTGTATGTCTTGATGGCGATATGACACAAGTGCCAGGTCGTCTGCAAAGTCTAGGTCTTTCAATTTGTTAGGGTCCAGCTGTTACATCTTTTTTTGTGTTTTGATGATCCAGTCTACTCACAATGTGAAGAGGAGTGACGAGCAGCTCTGTTTCAAAACGGTCTTGTAGAGTAGGACCCCCCCCCCCCCCCGAAAATCCCTCCAGTAAATCTGACTCTTGAGTAGGAATTTTCCCCGGAAAACTAACCGAGAGTAAGATTTCTCCCACGGAAAACTGGCTTCAGAGTAGAATTTCCCCCACGGAAATCACACTCTAGAGTCAGCTTTCCGAGAGGGGAAGTTCTACTATATAGTAGAAACCCCTTTAGAGCCAGTCTCCCTATTGGTAATGTCCTGCATATCATAGTGTCGTATATTTCATTTCTGACTTCAATGAAAATAAGTACTTATTAAGTATTGAAAAATATATTTAACTATTACATGTACAGTGTATGTTCAATATTTGAATTACCATTTACATCATATTAAGGTAATTAATAAAACCTCCATATCGCACATTTTACTTTCAAAATGACCATGTCAAGTTGACCTTAAGCTTGCATCAGTGCACCTATTGATGTTGAAATATATATCGAACAAAATATTAGCAGCAATATTTAGCTATCAGATTTGCTGTTTTATGTTTTATCAATCTGATTAAAATGAGACCTTTGTTACGCTCCGAAATTCTGATACAGCGACTATCAGAATTTCGGAGCGTAACAAAGGTCTCATTTTAATCAGATTGATGTTACATACATGTTAATTGCAATAAGCATCTTACAGCTTATCAAAACTTAAAATTGAATTACTAGCTATATTTTTCATGCCTGATCATCGCTTCCCTCAAAAAGATGAAGGGGTTGGGTGGGTTGCAGTATCCCTATATATTCTAAAATGCAATAAATTCTTCTAAAAATCATGCAACGTTTCCACATCCTTTAAAGAATGTTAACTTGATTACTACCACTTTATAACGTTAAGGAAAGAAGAAATCCCACTATGGTTGACATAAAAGGGCAAAACTGACTCTAAAAGAGGATTTCTCTCCGTGGAAAGTCTGCTCTAGAGCAGGATTTCTCCCACCGGGGAAACCTTATTTTAGAATAGAATTTCAGGGGGGGGGGGGGGTCCTGCTTTAGAGGAAATCCTAGTCTATAACACAGGTATGACTGTGGAATTATTCTGTAAGATTTGTACCATAAACGATCTGGGCAGAGAAATCCAAATTTGCCATATGACATAGTGATTCAGGGTCGGTTGATACTTTTTATATCTGCCTTTGTGAAGTCAATAAAGTTGACATACAATAAGGAGTTCTGTCATGTTTTATAAATTTTTCATTTTTGCAGTAACTACAAAATTTTTTTTAGATTGTCATATTGTAAATTTTGCATTTTGCATTCGATTTACGTTGAAAGCAAATATCTGCTCATAACAGGATCAGCCTTTCCTAACCCCAGCTCGCTCTTTCCGTAATAAAGGATCTAAAAAGCTGAGGTCTGCTCAAAATCAATCTGCTCGGAACTTTGCTGACATATAACAGAACTATACCCATCTAGCTATTAAAACTCCCTTTCTAGACTTTACAATGAGGCCAGTCTTCCAGCATGACGGTAGTTGTATAGTCCAGATTTTTCCAAGTACATGTATCTTTGTCAGACATCTTTTCCACTGCCTTCAGTACCTCTGCTATAATCTTATCCACTCCAGGCGTTTTAAATTTTGGAGATTAGGGATTTTTAAAATTCATTCAGTGTTGGTGGTTCAGCTAATTGGTAGAATGTCTTCTGCTGGTGTAATGTTTGCTTCCAGCTCTAAATTATCCATGTTGAAAACTCTTTCAGAGTGTTCCTTGCAACACTTCAAGATGTCTCCATTTTTAGAGAGCTAGTTCCATTGTTTGTCTTTGACTTAAAGATTTGATGCACTGAACTTTACTTCCAGTGTCATTGACAATTGATATAGAGTCCTCAAATGTAGCCATTTTTTGTATAAACTCTCTTGTCTACATATTTCATGACATTTGTCTTGTTCTCTATACTCTTTCTTTAGTATCTCTTTAAGTCTCTCTGATTTTGTTGGTAGGATTTCCCCATTCTTTTGCCTTCCTTTTCTCCGTTTCCCCCTTAAATGTCTGTATCTCTAGAACCTCATTAAATTATTCTATACGTACTTCATCATTTTCCGTAAGAGAAGCAAATCTGATCCTTTACTATGATGGTCATTTAATCTTCCTTAATAGAGGATGATGTGTCCAGATAATAGCTACATAGTACTACAGTATAGTACCACCGCTCCTTCAACTCTCGCTGTCTCTAAGAATCTAATGATCATTCCATTTCTCTCGTAACTTTTGCAATTTTTCCAATCTGGCAGAGGTTCTGCACATTCCAGGAGCCCGCTCTATGTGTTAATTAAAGTTGAACACGATTCGTAAAAGGAATGAGTCCGCCATATTCGATTGGTTTCTCGCTATATCTGAGGGCCTCTATATAAAGCCGCTGACTTGATCACTGTTCAGTGTAATCAATCGTCACAGGTGTAGACGGACGTATGCTGTACAGCACTCGGTAGCGACAAAATATAACTGTGTATTTCTTCTAATGCAGGAGAGTAAGATACCAAAGAAACTAACAACAGTTGCACAGGTCAGTGCAGTATACAAACAAACAGAAATACACGTAACTGCAATAAAATGTAATCAAATATAATGTAAGATAAACAGCACGAACACGTGTCGCCATTCCATGCCGATACCCGTTTCCTGTTTCCTAGTCGTGTTCAGCCTTAATGATATAGGATGTCTGCTATGGAGTTATCAGTTTCCTGGTTGGTTTGAAAGACAACCGCTCTTCTTCCGATGGAGTTTCACCTTTTGCCACTATCACTCAGGTACTTTTAAAAGTATTTCCTAGGTCAGCTACGAGAACCCATTTGAGACGGTGGGCATTAACTCAACATTTTAGTGTTAATACCTAGTGACACTATTTTACCCCACCCCACCCCCCGAAACCTCCACCAGCCTTTTACTCCTCTCTACTTGAAAAAAAAATCACCCAAGTAGTATATTAAGGCATTTCTGCCAATTTTGCACTTCTTTTGAAAACAGTCCATTAATTGTTTAGAGTTGTCACATTTAAAAAAAAAACGATAACAGTATCATAGTTTACTGATTGTTACGGACTACTTTAAAAAATAATGAACACTGAAGCCTAATTTTATTTCTTTTATGGAAGTAATTCAATTAGTTCGCGAACTTTTTAATCACCCCTCGTATATATAAGAAATATCTAAAAATCTTCTTTTCAAGAAAAGCAAAGCCATATTTGGTCATATGAATAGAGATGCATCCTCAGGTAGTAGATTTAATTTTGTTAAAATCATGACCCCTGGGATAGGGTTGGGCCACAATAGAAGAACTTTTTCATAGAAAAATAAAGGGGAAAAAAAACTTTAAAAATCTTCTAAAGTCATGATTAGTCCAAGAAATAGGAAAGCATCTCAGTTAATGTAGATTAAAAGTTGTTCAAATCATGACCCCCGGGGGTGGGGGATTGGTTGAGACCACTCATATATTGAAACTTTTCAATAATGAAATATCTGATTTTCTCTGACAAAGTGTTCAGGTGAGCGATGTGGCCCATGGGCCTCTAGTTGTAAATTATAAAATTATTGTGGCTTCTTCCATTGTTACCAAATATGAAGATGATTTCGGTTAGAGACAAACACCTAAGTGCGGGTATTACTGTCTTACGAGAGCATCTAGTTTTTACTGGTGGGCCCGGGGTCCGGAAAGCGAGGTCCCTAGTAGCTGGCAAATTTTCAGCATTTCTGACACACAGGTAAAGTACTTTAAAACGGTTGCCAACTTGTATCCCAATAAACATTATAAATTTATTTATTTACATATGTTTTATTGTAACCGCAATTTCTAAAGAAAGTTCGTGTTTATTGTTGTTATCCTGATCCGTCCGTCCCTCTGTCACACTATCTTTTTCTTAAAATTACTCTATCATTTTAAGCAGTTGCCAGCTCATCTTTAGGAACGTATTGGTGGTGCCTTGAACATGTGCAAAAGTATTTTGAAATTTTTATTTTCACCATAGGGGTCAAATGGCTGTTTGTTGTTTAAAGTCTCTCTCTAGAATTTTTCGCTCACATGGGGACGCCATCACTTGCCGATGGACAGCTGCAAATTTTGACCTATACTCGGCACTTAGGGCCATATGAGCAGTGAGGGATCTTTTTCGTACCAGCACCTACTGCGACACGGGACCTCATCCGAAGGACCGGTCTCCATGTCCCACTGGGATTCGAACTCGCGACGTAAGGATCAACTCCTTATTCTGCGACTCCAAAGCAAACGCTCTATCCACTGCGCCACGCAGGCAACCCAAATGGTTGTCAAATACCCAGTAAAAAAATTGGTTCCCTAAACTCCTCTTACATATTTTTGGGATATATATGATTGAGAGTGTCCTGTAAATGTGCAATTATGTTTGGGAATTTCGATTTTTCACTCTGGGGGCCTGAGGTAAAAAAAAAGTTTTTCTACAAAAACCTTGTTTCCTGAATTCCTTCTACATTTTAGGCGATTTTTCTTTTGGAATATGATTGGTGGTGACCTGTAGATGTGCAATAAGGTTTTGGAGTTTTCATTTTCACCTTAGGAACCAAGTATGGGGTCGAAAAACATTGTTTTTTCTAAAAAATCCTGGCTCCCCGAACTCTTCTAACATTAATTCTCTGCAGTAGCCGATTCAATTGAGACTGTACTGTAGGTGTGCAATAAGGTTTCGAAATTTCTGTTTTCACCCTAGGGGCGATGGGGTTCAAAGGCGACTTTTTTTTCTACAAAACCCAGGTTCCCTGTACTCCTCTAACATTTTTCACAGTAGCCCAATCATATTTAGGAAGTTCCGAACAAGTCTGGAAGTGTTCTGTAGATGTGTGCATTTTGGTCTCGATTTTCACCCTGGGGATGATGGGGTCGAAAACAGATTTTTTTGTAAATTATAAAATTATTGAGGCTTCCTCCCTTGTTACCCAAGTATGAAGGCTAGTACATTTAGAGGCAATCACTTATGTGCAGGTATTACTGTCTTATGACAGCATCTAGATGGTGCTAAATTACTTCTCAATATCTTAAATGCATGTTCAAATGATATTGTGTGCCAAATTAATATATATAATAAATATATTTACATGTATTTAGATCAGAGTGTCCAATAGTATGAATTACCTATATTTCATAATGTAATTCTATTGCTTTAATAATAAATGTATTATGAAAGAACATCTTAATTGCTTATTCAAAGAGGAATTTTTTCCTTCTTTTCTTTTTTATTTTTGAAAATGATGTGAAGCACTTGAATATGCCTTGCTATGTCCCTATCTTGCTCCACTGACAGAGTATTTTATTAGTCCACGATCAGTGAAATCGGAAGGGACCATAAGTTTCCTATCCATTTGATTAATCAGTCAGTCATTCTGTCACACTTGCCAACTTTTGCATAAGCTGAGCTGATTTTTGGTATGTGAGTCTATCTTGATGAGATACAGATCAAATTTGCATTTTGTTGAATTACGGTCTGTACTAGCAGAGAACTCCGTATATGGTAATTCATTACTCTGAGAATGTTTTAAATACTTCAGCAGCTCACTTTAGATGTATTTATTACTTAACCTGTATAAAAATGGATAGTTCGTGTCTAACATGGGGAAAAGTTATTACACCCTTTAAATTGAGAATAATAGAACAGTGAAGTCTTAAGAAATGTTTATTTCAAAAATTACATGATTTAAGCACTACATTACATAGTCACATTAAAGTTTTATTTGAAAAAGTCGAAGAATTTACAACAAGACTTAGTGGAATATACATCATAGAGTTCATTTTACAATAAAATACATTCAAATTCTGTAAATTCATAAAAAGTGATTCATAAACACATTCAATCTTGAATACGAAATGAAAAATATAATAAATATTCTATTAAACTTGTACACAATTAAAAATGTATAGAAAGCCCAAGGAGGAAAAAAAATTAAGTTGAATGTGCAAGAGAACAAGGACTCAGGAATGAAAAAAATGGTGAAAGAGTGAAAAGATAGCAAGAAGTTGACAATTTTAAATACAGTAAAGGAAATTCAAAGACTCTTTTGAGTGTAAAGGAATTAAAAAATCTATCCACAGATTTATCCCATAGGGAAAATGTAGAAATGGTGCACATGAGGAAAAATGAATTAAAATTTCTTGTCTGAATGACACTTAGTAAAAATCGAAAGTGAAAAAAATGCTTATTATAGACAGTAATTCAAAAAATGTTAAAGTTGATTAAATATACAAGAAAGTGGACTTCAAAATAAAAAGCAAAAACAAGAAGGGCTGCATGGATACAGCATATTAGTGCTAATCTACAATGGAGAATTCAGTCTACCTCCAAGTGAATGCTGCTGTGGATAATCTTTGACAACAATCAATACACCCTTACTACTTCAATCCACATCAAAACGTGTTATTCAAAACATGGGAAAAAAATGTAGTGGAAAACGTATCACCTGGAAAATTTTCCTTTGTCAAGCACATTTGGGTACACATTTTTGAAGCTTGTGAATATATATCATGGCAGTGTTGTTTTAAAGCATTTAATCTTGTAGACTTATTGATTACTTTACTGTGAAATTTAAAAACATGATTCATTCACGTGCGTAAAAAGGTACGTTCAATGAGGAAAAGTGCAGAGTTTACAAGTTGAACTGGAAAGATTGAAATTTTACAAAAATTACCGTAACCAAATGCGACTCCATGAGAGGAGTTCAAGGACTTCTATATTTTTCTTTTTGAACAGTATTCTCCTAGATTACTTTGATGAGGAAAAAAAAAGAAGAATTCATAATTATCCCAAACAATGATTTCAATCATAATCCATGAAGTGTAGTTAAGCTCGATACATTTTTTACCCAATGTCAAATAGATGTTTCCTCAGAAATACAAGTCAGGAACCTGTACACACAAGGAACGGCTATAAACAAATAATATCACTGAAAAGAAAAACATACTGGAATACATGAATACAAACAATAAAAACTGAATATCATTCATATCTGACATGTAAAATATTTGATGAGGCCTAACATGTATATTGCACAATTTTGTTAAACCACAAATGGGGGACTTGGTACATTCTTGGTCATAATAATTAAAACATTCCCTTTCCACAAGGAAACAAAAAGCAAAAAAATTCCCCAAACATTGACAGTCATCACAACACTTTTCATTATTATCTTTCCCATTATCTTTCATTTTGAAAAAAAAAAATGGCTACTATACATCTTTCTCTGTTCTGAATAAGATTTTGAAAAATACAAATAATATGTCCCATTTAGTGGACAATCAACTCCTAGCTGAAAGGCTTAATAAATAGGTGGTCAGTCTTGCTTAAAACTTGTCTCTGCACCGGTTTTCTCTGCTCTTAGCATCAACAATGTGCTGATGATACCAAAGTACACATAGCCATAGATCACATGCCTGAACAACTTCCTTTTGCAAAACCTTATTGTAGCTAGACATTTTTTGGAAATATTTGAGGATTTTTCAGTCCAATTAGAATCAGCTCTCTCACTTGATATCTTTATGTTTTTGTCACATTGTGAGAGCTCCACTTTGAAAACAAAGAGAGCAAGTAAAAGTGCTGATTTTTATTGGCATAAGGATTTTCAAACACACACACAAAAGACTTCTCATGGAAAATCTAATAATTGTACAATGAAAAATGGCACAAATTGTGAATGTTAACACCAATGCAGATGTGAAATTCCATGCCTTCAACTCATAGAGGATACACACAATGCTACTAAATATAATAAAATATGACATATTAAACACAAAACTAAATAAACTTGATACTATATAAAGCATTGACAAACTACTTATCTTTTCTCAGCTGTTTAAACCATTCACAACAATCAGAAAAATCTTTATTTGAAGGTTGTTGAATACATTGCCACTACCATAAAACATTGACTGTGATATAAAAATATTATCATGTTTTTGTTATGCATAAAAGCTACAGAAAAGTCTAAACCATACTCCCCAAGTACTGTGGTAGAGTTTAAGCACAATATCAAGGCAAGCTAAATGCTGTCTGTATGTTTACAGCCATAATCAACCAAAATGCCTCTGTGCCTTGTTAGGATATGTATACAGATTTATGATGGACCAAGGGGCTAATCAAACAGAGATTTCCCCTTCACCACTCTCTGAGAAACTTGAACCTTGAGAAACTCTTCGGTGATTAACACCGCATGCATCTACTAACCCACTGTCTGTAAATAAGAGAGACTACAATCTACCTTGTTTATATCAACACTAGGAATGATTACACGTTTTTGTGTGTCAACAACAAGCTTACACACAGCTTGACCATCGACTACAGACCAAATCCAAATTTAAAAAGTTAAGAATAATTTGGTAGCATCCCAACTCTAGATGCAAGATCATTACCAAAAAAAAAAAAAAAGGAAAGATGGAAAAGGGTAACATCACAAAGTGAGAACTATGCATAAACGACAGAAAACTTGTGACCAATTTTCATTATTGGTTCCCAAAACAATCATAAGAAGTATTCTAAAACGTTTGCAACTGAGCATCTGAATCAGGCTCGCCATGCCTGAATCAGTGTTGTGTATGATCTTGTAACCCCAGTATACAGCTTGGAATATTCAAGCTTTATGGTGATCTCAGCCATGGGGAAAACAAAATGGTGGACTTATATGCCCAAACAGTGTCACACACACTCTATCATACAATTGGAAAAAAATCTCTAGTAATTTTGTGTTCTATTTGTTGGGGACTGATGGGTTTCCCGAACGATGGAGATGAACATTCTGCCATTTTCCATCTTTTCTCTGCCAAACTCTTGTCTCCTCTGCATGCAGTGTTCCAGGTAACCCAGTCCTGAAAATAGTACACTTTTTTAAATAGATCATCATCTCTGAAAGTCACTTAATTACAGGATATATGACAGACTTCTCCCAGAATGAATTGTCTGCACATAATGGCACAGAAGACAAAAGCCAAGATACAGATGTTGTCACCAGACATTCATTTATAACTCAAATTACTAGGGGAAAAAAATGAACTTTGAAAAATGTAATGATTACAGTGCACTACTATTACACTTTACCATTATGCCAGGTCTTAAATCATCTAAAAGTATTCATTAGACCCAGTAGTGATGCAAATACACACCTCCAATTTCTAAATTTCTACATTCATTCTTAGCCCCAGAACTATCCCAGTGAAACATTTTAACTGCAGAAATCATTTAGAAAAGATACAGGTAACCCATACCTGAGAGTGATGATGGAGTCATGAAAACTAGGACTGGTACATACTTCCACATACCTGTCTGGTACAAACTTCCACATACCTGTCTAGTACATACTTCTACATACCTGTCTGGTACATACTTCCACATACCTGTCTTGTATGTACTTCTACATGTCTAGTACATACATCCACACTTGCCTGGTACATACTTCTACATACCTGTCTGGTATATACAGGTAAACTTCGTTATCTCGACATCGACGGGACCATCGGAAAATGTCGAGATATCCGAGGTGTCGAGATATCAGAGTTGAGACTTGACGTCCAAGATTTCACTGCATAGCAAAAGACTTCAATATACATGTAGACTGTAGCTCAACATGTTTCAGAATTCCCTCTATTTTTATTAAAAATTTAAGAAGTTATTTTAAAATTCTTGTTTATAATTTAACGTGTTCTTTTTTCGAAATCTTTCTAAATTCACAAAGTTTCAGCACAAATTAAGTTACAGCATTCGCGTGTAACTTGCCTATTCGTCAGAACAGGATACGAAATGCGCTCTATAAACTTCGAACCGTATAAAGTCGACATCCGATATACGGAAAAAAAAATTGAATGCGGATTATTTTTTTTTTCTCATTTCTTTCAGGAAGAATGTACATTAAAATTCATTTTTTAAAGAGATTTGTGTATCTAAACTAACGTGGTGTTGTTACAGATGAATGAATTACGGCTGATTTGGTCAATTGTGTCGTTAATTGGATTGTTTCCTGTTGAATACATTTTAACTACAAAATATCATTAAAACATCTTTTAATTCCTTAGTTTGAATTATTCAGTGTGTTTGTTATTCATTTTAATTTAGTTACCTTTTTCAAATTTAAAAGTTATGTTAGGTTTCGATAAAAATAACCGTCTGTACATTTACGCAGAATCGTGTAGATTTAGCAGTGATATTACCCAAGCTGAACATTAAGCAATAAACTTCTCAAAGACGCCGAGGGGCTTGGGATTCACCTACAAACACGGTCTATAGAATTAATTAAGCAACCTGCAGTCAAACATGGGTGTGAAAGGTGTGAAATTTTGATGACGGCGAGATACCCGGAGTCGTCTGTGCGTGACGAGCGACCCTATCTGACAAACAGTTAGGTTCAGTAGAGCAGAAAATTGCCGATGTCGACATACCAAGGTAAATTTTGTTCTTAGGACTGTGAATATACGTCAAGATAACCCGGGTTGTCGACATTACCGAGGTCGACATATCAGAGTTTTTGCAGATCATATATATAGTAAATACTGCCGGGACCACGAAAGGAGGTCGACATATCCCAGGTTGTCGACATATCCGATGTCGAGATACCGAAGTTTACCTGTATTTCCACATACTTGTCTGGTACATACTTCTACATTCATGTCTGGTACACACTTCTACATACCTGTCTGATACATACTTCCACATACCTGTCTTGCACTCGTACATACTTCCACATACTTGTCTGGTACATACTTCTACATACCTGTCTGGTACATACTTCCACATACCGGTACCTGTCTGGCACATACTTCCACATACTTGTCTGGTACATACTTCTACATACCTGTCTGAACATATTTCTACATACTTGTCTGGTACATACTTCTACATACATGTCTGGTACATACTTCCACATACCTGTCTGGTACATACTTCCACATACCTGTCTGGTACAAACTTCCACATACCTGTCTGGTACATACTTCTATATACCTGTCAGGTACACACTTCTAAAACCTGTCTAGTACATACTTCTACATACCTGTCTATGAACTGGGTGAGCCTTACATAGGCTATACAAGCTGCATCCTCCCCAAGCAAGTGGACATGGGGGTTTAGTATGCTGGTGTTCAATGGCTTGTTGTTCTTGGATAAAACTGTAAGACAAAGAGCTTTTTGAAATATTGTACTATTTCATGTATAAGCCTAATACATTCCTTACAATCCTTCATAAGAACAGAAAAGAACGTTTACATAAAAACATGCAACAGCTCCAAATGGCAGTTACGAAAACTTCAAATTGCAGTGGCATAAATTTCAATAAATAACAAGATATGAATTCTTTTGTCAAACCCTAAAACTGTCATTCAAAAGGAGTGCATTCTTAAAAGAATTGTTTACCTCTGTTATGATCATCAACATCACACAAGTGACCTGAATTAACAAGCTTTGTTTTTCTTACTCAAACAACTAAGGAGAAATCTCTTAGTTACAACTTTCATTTATCAGGTATATTACCATGGTCAAAGTAAAACTTGTGGAAATCCATTCCAACAATCAGATGCCCCATGGCTTCTGTCTCAAAGCAGGTCACTGAGGGATCCACATACTTCCTACAAACAGTTATAAGCAGAACTTTCACCAATAGTTGAAATGCAGTGAATAACTAAATATTATTGAGTTAGTAACCATCAGTAAAATGTTTATCCAAAACGTACTTTATGGAGGTTGTGCTCAAAGATATTATTGAAAAACAATTAGTTAATATTGGCCATTTTTGCAAAAACTTTAAGGAATGTCAATAATGATGAAATTTATGACATATTATAAAACATGGACATCTGATTTTTCAAAGTTATAGGGACAAATAAGGTCTTTATGTCCCCTGCTCTATTCTCCTTCTATACACAGCATATGAATATGAAGTCTATAGGTCACTAAATGTCCGAGATATTGCAAATCAATGGTCATTTCTATACTCTTGACCTTTGATCATAACCTTTGACCATGTTGACCCCCAAAACTAAAGGAGTCTTCTGTAATTTTTTAAGTTATAAGCATTGACATGTACTGTAGATCACAAAATTTTTGCTTTATTTTCAAAAGATGTTGATTTAATCTTTAAAAAGTGAAGATATATTTTCACAAACTGTGGTAATAGTTGAATATAACCTTTGATAATACTAATATATGCAAGACTGAAATTTTCACATGCAGACGGTCTTGCGTAATTACGCCAAAAATAAAGTTCTTGTGAATAAAGAGTGATATAGAGTAGGAAGCTTGAAGTCTATAGGATGTATGTTTTTGCATCGGATAAAAGTGCAATGATATATATTTTTACTTTTGACTTTAAACCATATGACCCTGAACAACTGTAAGGTAGTCTTTCTCTAACCATTACATCCTCCATCTTTGTATTAAGTTTGTAAGATAAAAGATACTTGTTCTGGTGTCACATCAAAGTCTTTACAGATGGACAGAGAGACTCTTTAATTACTATAGACATCTGAATCTTGATGCAGTGCCCTCATTATTGTTCTCATACATATACTTTCAAAAAGAGAATGCAAAATGTACATACAGAACTGATCTAATCTATTTAAGCTTTTGAAGAATGGCTATATGTTTTTATACAAAAAAAAACAAAGAAAAAAATATCAAAAAAATTGTACCAAGTATCAAAACTTTAGAGCCACTGGTTCTATTAAAACTGAACATCAAACAATTAAAACGTTATCTTAATTGGATCAAGCTGAATTTCTTACGTGTAATCTTCATAATTTCCGCTGGTGATGGCGGCAATCAACTGCTCGGTCAGTTTGATTATTTCCTGTTTTCTACCTGGAATACAAATATTAATGTTCATAAAAGTGCTTAATTAAATATATAAAGCTGAATCCTTTATTATAAAACTGACTACCAAAATGACTAGTAGCAAGTACAAAGACTATCAGAATTGTTAAGAATTGCGCTCCAAGCTGGATATTTTTTTTTTTTTTTTTACAAAATTTGATACAAGCAAACTTTCAAATTCAAGTCAGTCTACTGGGATCTCAGTAATAGGTTAAATCTTGTTAACACAACACATGAAACTGTGTCTCATGCATGCGATTCCTGTTATACAAAAACTGTAATGTTTAGTTGTCAACACATCAGTACATCAAACCATGATAAAATACAATGACACTGAACTATGATGTCTAAAATAATTTAAACCATTCCTCTTATCCATTAATCTTACAGAAAGTTGCCAAGAAAAGGAAGTCAGATAGAGAAATAAAGGTGAACAGCGAGCATCACAATCCATTTGCTTGGTGTTTCAGGAAAAAAAAGCTTGATGTCAAGATATATACAAATTTTCAAGCACTGACTTGAAAGCAGTTACTCAAGGGGAGTTAAGCACTCTATAGTTCTGGTGATCAAAGGAGCATGGGTAAATTTCCAGAAAGTGGAACACCCAGCAAAACAGGATTTTTGAGAATTAGTTTTGGACTTTCCCTAACTTTGTTAAAGATTTGTCTCTGTTTCAAGTTAATTATTTTAAGAATGCAGCTTATGTACCATACAAATAATTTTTTTTTTTTTTAAATTAGGCAAACACACAACTTACGTTAACAGTTCTGTAAAGTAAATGGAAATGTTTGTAGTATAGAAAACATTGAATAACCAGTATTAATGTTTGCTACTTATACTTGAGTTTCTGAAAATGAGATCATAAAAATTATGTGCAAAAACATTTTGAATTTAATTGAGACTTTTTTGCAAAAGGAAGTAAATTTACTCTTTCTTTTGCCCATGCATGGTATTCGATCCTTTTGTATTATTTAATCATTTAAATATGTCTCCAGCTTGGAACGCTATCAACAAAATTAAAGGTCTCCAAATATACCAGTAAATTATCTTAAAAAGAAAATTATCACTCTGACACACAAAGACAGTTTACAGGTATAATCTACAATAATTTTCTCCAAAGATGACACAAAAAGAGTAAGGGGTATCTAAGCAACAAAACCTCAACACAAAATCATAAGGAAAAAAAAAATCAACCTCAGGACCTTAATGATTGTACAGGTCCCAAAATGAAAAAAAAATTGGATTTCTCCAAATCCAACCCTTTAATTTATCGTACAGCCTGCATGTCAGTGACTAATTAAAACGTTGATGGTACAAACATATAATCAGACATAAATGCAAACGGTACAGAACACAGACAAAAAACATCCAAGTCGCTCAGGCAGATATTTTGGTGCTTGACAGATTATTATTATTTTTTCTCTAACATAAACATTATGTGGTTATAGTCAGTGCAATGAAATGCAACAGAATTTCTACTTGAAGAAAAATTCAGAAAGGTGCAAAACTTATACAAATTAACTCTTTCATGAAACAAGTCTCATGGTCTTGTTACTAAAAAAAATCTTAAGAAATTTAGATAATTTCATTAAAACTGAGATGGACTTCACAGGATGACCCCTACCCAATCCTGAAGAATTTTCTTCAAAAAAAATCTTACAAATGAAAAAAAGTTTGAAGTGACCCAATTGGAGAATTTCAACAAGCATGTGCAAGGCCTGTATATAAGTACATGAGAGCAACGTGCTATGCAGCACAAGGAATATCATATATAAAAGTCACCAATTCGCTAACCTACCATGTAATCAAATCTTTCTTTAAAAAAGAGTTTAAAAAAACACAGAACAAAGCCACAGAGACTGTTTCCTTTTACAGAAAACAAACAGAAAAAAATCCCGATGTATGACATGCAAAATAATCTGCCAGTTTCGGCATTTCAGCACCCTAATTACTTACACATTGACTTGGGTGATGAGCATCCACTCTGCTCATGTATCTGCAGCTCAGTAAGAGTTATTGCCCCTGAAGCATTTCAATGGAAGTCAGAAAGTTCAGAAAAATGCACTATAAAATCCCATCGAGATGAATTTTTATCTGAACAGTTTGTTTACATATTTTTCTTATATTTTTATTAGTGGGATAAAGTTTAATTATTTTAAAAGAACATTGATTAACCAGACCAAAAAAAAGTAATAATAATAATAACAATAGAATTACACAGTTTCCAACACAGAAATAGTCTTACTAGTTTTAAAATACATACATAAATTTACGATTATTCTGAAAGGAGGGTTCAGAGAATTGCGTAATTTTTTCTTTGCATTTTTCTTTACCTAGGGAGCGACTATTTCTACTACACAACTCACAAGACACAAAGAAACAAAAAGCAAGCATGTTAATAGTAGATCAATGTGATACGACTTTTTTTTGGCATAGGAATTGAAACAAATAATAATCTCTAAAGCTTAGTTATTGCCAAAATGCAGAGAAATTCTTTATTTTACCCAATGGTTGGCTCAAATTCTTTTTAGAATTTCCTAGAAGAGAAAATTTACAGACAACTAGTTTCAGGAAAGTGGCCTCCGACTATATAAATCTAGCAAAATATGCTTTTAACAAACAACCTATTTGCTTGCATATTATGATTTCAGAAAGTTCTGAAATTCATCTTTACTTTTCATTCCACCCATCATCAACACATACATTATATTTATTGTTTACAAAGTCTAACAAGTACCATTACACAAATACCAGAAAACATTTACACATACATCACAACAACATCAAAGTTTCACACAGGAAGCAGTGCTCGGAAACAGCAATTCAATCCAATAACACCCCCCCCCCTTCTTTCTTCCTCCCTTCATTATTGATCTATTTATAGAATCACCTTTCAGTTTCACAATCATTTCATGAAAACTTGATAGAAATTATCAAAGGTTAGGAATACAAAAAAGTCATAATTATACAGTTAAATTTCAACTGATTTGGCTTGTGAAATGATGATATTGAATACAGATACTGTAATTCATCTAATTTTCGCAACACTATATTTTTGCCAAAACTTTCACAAATATGTTTTTATCGTTATATATGATCTTTTACAATAGCACTGAAATTTGCACAAGGAGACAGTCTTGCATAATCATGCAGAAATAAAGTTCTACAAATAAAAAGTGATTTACAGCACCCAACAATACTTGAGCATTATTTTTCAGAATCAGTTTGAACTGTGAAAAATGATATCAGCTAGAACTAAATTACTTTTTTCTCACAAATGTTTATTTTACAATTAAAATTAATGTTCACAGAAAAAGCTAAAATTTAAAATTTTTACATGAGAGGCCCCATGCAATTTTATGTAGTTACAGTATTATTTATATGAATTTTGTGTGAAATGAGGAATCTATATTATATGCAACTCAAGAACTTAAGGAACTTGCAAAACTGAAGGGTGTTCTTGAAATAAAAAAAAAATCTCTGTTTCCATCTTCCTTTAACGATCATAATAGTCCACAAAAACATCAAAATTTGTTAAGCACTTTGTTTATTTTTTAAAGATTATCACTTCTGATATCAGATGAAGATCTGCTTTCAAATAACTTTAATGTACATGTACTGTTATAGAAAAAGTACTAAATTCAAATGCATTTTTTGGGGTGAACATATACTTAAAAGTTTTCACATCCCAAAACTTACAATACCCAAAGAAGATACTTCTTTCTTCTATAGAAATTCATATCATAAAAATCTAACACTTTAATAAAACCTGAGAGAGCACCAACTTCAACTCTGAGAAATTAAGGGGGCATATAGAAGAAGTCAACTAGCAGCTAACACAATATCAAATTAAGACCTATTAGAAGACCATTTATCAAAAAGATGATAAGGCCAACAAAAAAAATCCATTAAGGTGGCCTACAAAAACAAAAGGCCTCTGGGCCACAATGCTCACCTGATTCTTCATTGCAGCCCGGAGGACCGGGCTGCTCTATACATATAAATTTAAGTGTTGGTATATGGGGATTGAGGTGGGAGAAGTTATTCAGAATTAAAGGCTTTCTAAACATTAAAAAGATTGTTAATCAGAATGTTCTTTCCCTTTATAAATTACGAGATACACAATATATTTACTTCCATAAAGTGAATCTGTAAAAATATATATGTTTTTCATATTTAATATATAAAGTTGCTTATCATTTACTATCGAAATAACGACAGGTCCCTTTTTTTTTAGAACATCGAATTTTACTTATCGCATAAAAACGTAAAAATGTACTTTACACAGTTCGTGTTTTATATTCTTAAAGTGAAAGACATTTTTGAAAATAGGTGATGCATGTGTCTGGTTTCAAATTATATTTTATGCAGCCAACATTTACTTGAGGAATTGATAAAGTTTAAAAGGGTATCGTTTTTGTTCGATTTTCATCCGACTATAAGTTTTCAAAATATTCTCGACTATCGTCTCCATCATTTAGACGCATGCCTTTTTCACACATATCGAAGTGGTTTGATGATCAAGACTCATTTCCATTGTTTACTTTATTTATTTCCCGGGCGACAATTGACGGTTACATAAATGTTTTCTTGTTCTCTTTCTGATATATGATAATGCACTTTTATGTACATGTAGATAAATAGACTCTGGTCACAAAATAAAGTCCATGATTTTAACAATTTGGAATTATAGCAAACTGAGGCTTAATGTCAACTTTGCATTAGGTAGCCTTACTGTTCCTGCAGAGTTTAAATATTTCTAGTAAAACTTTGTTCCCAACTTAGTAACTGAGGCCATGCTTTAAACTAGCTTGACTCTTCATTACTTGGGGATGCTTTCTTGTTAATATGACTGTGACCTGCTTTCTTGAGATAATGTTTTATTAAAAGCTTTCCCTCCCCCCCTCATATGTTGTCATGTAAGACTGTGACCCTTATATGACCCTGACTTTGTCCCAAGGGCCATGATTTCAACAAAGCTACATCTACACTACAATAGGATGTGTTACTTTAACTTGATTTATCATGGTCCTACTGTTCTTGAAAAGACGTTTTCTATATTTTATTACCTATATATTGCTATGTAAAACTTTGATCCTAATCGTGGTCTGGTCTTAGCTTGGGGGTAAGCTAGAATCTAAATGACGTGAGGATGCATGCATATCAATATGTCTCTTGAGAAGATCAACACCACATCAGGAAGCTCACATATGTACATACTTTCATACATACAACCACAGAGACATACAGACAAAGTGTACATACTTATGCCAGACAATGGTTGATCAGAAAAGCTCATTTGAGCCAACGGCTCATGTGAACTAAAAACAGGAAATGCACAAAAGGCCTGATTTTTATTTTAAAGGTCATAGGTCAAATATTACTAAATGCAGGATCACACCCAGCAGGAAGCTATACTTTCACTTTGTTAGAAATGAAAGTAGGAGAGTGTATACTCACTGTCAATATCAGCTTTTCCTAAGAGGTCAAGTGGAGAAGAAATATATAGGGTCAGAGACATTGGAATTTTCTTCAACAATATATACATATAGTTTTATGCCTAAAATATGTACCAGTCTTTCAAGGCAGTAAAAATTTTAAACCCAATTCTAAAATTGCCCAAACACTAGCTTTAAGCTTTTTTCTGCATTATTACCAACAAAAAAGTAATTGTTTTTTCAATACCACCTGACTGCAGGTTTACATGGTATGTATGGTACATGTATTGGTTATAACAGTAAAACATAGTTGTAGCAAACCTAGATAAAGTTGAAATTGCTTTACAATATTCATTATGGAATATATCCAGTAAAGAACACAAAATTTTCTGCGTTAAAAAATATATTTGGTGACAGAATTCTATTTTACTCTGGTATTCCTATCAAATGCATATGTAATAAAAAAAATTCTACTGTAGCTTAAAAATATTGCTGCCAACATAAAAAAGCAAATTTATTGATACCTTGCCACCAAGATAAATTCATCAACCCTCATCATTCTAAATGACTGTACGACTTCCATACGATCCCTGCAAATGATAACAACATACATCTCCTTTTGAGACTTACCCCTAGTATCTTCATCATCAATGGTGGCTTGGCTATCGGTTGATTCTTTGATGCCATCATTTTTTTTCACTATCAGGCTTCGACCTATAAAAAACATGAAGCAAAAAACAAAAACTTTTAGAAATATATAGATATATTTGTGTATACAATGCAATATGATACTTTATTTGAAACAATATTCTGAATATCCTCTTCAACATCTACGTAAAATATGATTATTACGAGAACAGTATCATATACTTTCTTCAAAGCATAATGGAGTATAAGAATAAGCTGCATAGAAAACCCATACCTATTAAAAAGATTGTTAGAAAAAATAATGTAACAAGTTGATGTTTAGGCTTATCAAAAGATAATTCATTAGGGATATTGAAAAAAAAATACACTATCTGACATGCACAGAATAAAGTGCATTAATAGGACTGTGGATGATATATATGACATTCATATGACAGCCAAATCAATTTTCTGACAACATCTGTTTTGAGCCTTTGAGGCAGCTTGCCGTCTTAGGCATGCAACATGTGTCCTAAAAAGCAATATTACTAATGACTCCATAAGATTCCCCCCCCCCCCCCCCCCCCCAAAAAAAATACACCAAATACATTATCCATCAAATTGATGTTTTTTTTTTTTTTTTTTTTTTTTTTAAACCGATTTGGTGATTTTTGCATCTTTAATTATCTCAGTTTACAGATACAAAAGTATTGGTGACCTATTGGATAAATATCCAAAATTACCAAGTATGCATCACATCCCTTCACAAAATATAGTCCAACATTACTACCCCATATTCCACTGAGTGCCACATTGGTCCGGGCCTGGGGCCTTTTTACTGACCTTGAAACAAACTAGTTAACCATTGGCAATTCATTCTGGATTCACCACAATTCTAAGCAAAAATATTCATCTCACTTTTACACAAATCAAAAGCTAACTTACTAAGCTGTTTTTTTTATTGGATAAAAAACCCCCAAGATTAGTTTTCTGGACTAATGCAAATTGACAGTAACTTAAAGACATCAGTCACAAAATCAATAAAATATTCCACAAATAACTAATACAGCATTCATTATCCGACATAAATAGAAACAGCACTGATGAGATAATTACAGATATTTACATCCGCTGACACACAACAAATACATCCCTTGACATCATCACTACCAAAATGATCAAATCTTCTTACTCATAAAACACCATATTTATTTCCAATATATACTTGTTGATCAAATCTGCCTACTATTTGTCTTGTTTCAAAGTTGGATCATGAAAACATTATATATATAGACCAGGTTACCAGAATTTTACTGGAAACATCACACTGAAATCTATTTCACCAAAAATATTAAAAATATTTCTGACCTAATATGTCTTGTTCTAGGTGAATGTTATATGTGTTCAGGATTATGACCTTATATGATGTTTTAATGATGTCTGGTTCTAGATGAATGTTACACATGTTCAGGATTATACACAATGCATGTCACATTTCCACTAATTTCAAACAAAATCAAAGAAAGGAAATTTCATGCAAATCAAACAATATTTAAACAATACTAACTTGAAATTAAATGAATACAAATAATAATAGGAGTATGCTGTGCTTAAGTATGATAATATCTAGTCAATTGGATTATATTCTTTAAGTATAATAAAATAATTCCTTGATGGTAAAAACAGTAAAGTATTATAACATAATACTTAGTATTGCAATTACCTTAGGGTTCTCTAACCTATAGCCCCTCTTTTGCTGCAAAGTCTAGGAAGCTCTAAATTTTATGAGATTTTCAGGACATAATATTGTTTATGCTAGTGATAATTGAACAAACAATCTATATGCAAAAAGTACAAAGTGTTGCCGAAAGGCTGCACTTCAGATAGTAGGTCACCTAATGCAGAATGTTTAGAGTATTTCATCAACTTCCAAAATAAAGTAACAATTATCAGAAAAAAATGGTTGAATTTAATTAGAAGAGTCAGTATAAAGGAAAGTATCAACAGAAAAGTAAAACAAAAGGACTAGCTCGTCTTAAGTTTTATTAGCTTGGTTTACCAAATGTTAAGCAACATATTTCACCAGGACTGCTTTCTTATGTGTCCTTAAAAAAATCTACAGTGATCAAAGTGTTTTCAATAAGCACATTGTTCCCAGCTAATAGATGTTTTCTACCTCCAACGCGAAAGAGTTCTGTTAAGTTAGGTAATCGCAATATCAAGTATATCCTTGATATAAACTGTGAACATGAGGTATTTTGTATGTAACTGGCCTCTACATATGTTTTACCAACTTATACAAAACCATAGGCCAAAACTTCTACCAGTAATTTGGTGGATAGGCCTGAAAAGTAGGTGTTATGGAAATCATAACAAAAATTAGAAAATATTTACTGGTGATCTTTCTTTGAATGAACCCTTCTTTTTTTACCGATATAAATGCATATTAAATTTGTCTATAAACTCTTGTTGGTAGGAAAATGGTTGACAGCTAGGTGTACACAAATTCATGTGTCCTCAGAAATCTCAGTACATATGTGCATCTATACACAGATCTGTACACAGGATAATTTCATACTTAAAATGTGTGTAGATTTTCATAGAGATTTCCTCCTAAAAAAAAATCAAAAAGGTATAGATCTATAGTACTCAATACTAATAAGAAATCTTAAAAGCCTTCAAAATCCTAAATGTGGGCAAAAAATGTCCTCAACATGTGAAATTTAAAAAATTTATATGCTTTAATGACCAAGTAGTAATTCTTAGTTATATAATGAACAGTGATGCATGCTGGGAAAAGATGCTAAAAGCTGTGATAACCTAACTTGTTTCCCCCAATCAAAATTACAGTGTACTTACGAAAAAAAAACCCTCTCCCCCATGAACAAACTCAAAACCCCGACCTCATAAAAAATATTAAAAATGTTATGAAATTTTAAAGGCAAAGCAAGCTTTCCAAAAAAATTATCTTAGACAGAGAAGCTGATTACAGAAAGATTTTTGAAAGGTTCAAGCTTTGGTGGATCCAATTTCTTGAATTCTAAGTACATACCAGCATTAGGTTTCCACTCTGTTCAGTAGACACAAGTTGGATAATTATTTTAACTGATCAAAGGTCATCAAAGTTTAAAGCTATTGGCAGTATCAGCAGTGTTGTCATGGACATTTGAAAATTGTCAGTGGGGGAAAAACAAGTGCAATCTGGGAAAAATAACAATGTTTAACCTAGAGAGGAATATTCCATTTTTATGTTACTAGAGAAGGGTAAAGTTCATCTTTTTTTCTGAATCTTTTGATGCATTTTTGGGGTGTGTGGGGAATCTATTTTTTTTTAAATCAATGTAAATAAAATATTAGTAATCTATTTTAAGCTATACTCAAACTTAAAAAAAAAAATAATTGAAGGATAAACAAATAGGAGTGCAGAAAAATAAATAAAACAAAAATGTAAACTAAACTAAATCAATAAATGTGTGTCAAGATGAACAAAAAATGGGGAAAATAAAAGCGACAGAGAAAATTCTGGAAATGCAACACGAAAGAACCTGACTGGTTACCATGGTCACACACAGACCTACCTGCCAAGACGGCGGGACTAGTCACAGGCGAAAGGGCATTACCTGAATTTGACAACCAGTGATATCAAAAATATATCACTCAAACTTCATCATAAATTCTAAGAAATCACCATTTTAAGAAACATTTGAGATTTTTTTTTTTGTTAAAACAATAAATAAAACAAAGATGATGTAAGCAAGTTATTATCTAAATTGAAGTATCGTAAACAAATATTTGTGGCAATAAAATCTCCGAGCAACTGTCCCATGCAGATTTCCCGGCCCATTTGAATTTTATATCAACAACTTTCCCTATCAGTGAATAAAAAATTAATTCTACTCAGATTATTTCTTAATTGCAGCAATACACATTATTAACAATGTTAGTTCTTCAATTGAAAAAAAGAAAGAAATGAATTGAATGAGATATGAATAATATATGACATAGTAAATAAAAAAAATTTGCACTCTGCATCTAAAAACCCAATCAAAATTTCAGAAAAAAGCTGTTATTTTACCATCTGCATTAAAAGAAAAATTATTCAAGATATGCTTAAAAAAAAATATATGCATCATCTTTTTTTTAACAAACAGTGCACATACCACTAGAAGAGAACTACTGTGTTTTTTTTAATCACACAACACACATTTACAACCACGAAGAGAAGCTACACCATGTGTGACACTTACCTTTGTTTACTATACAAAAGCAAGCAAAAACAGAGATGTACAAAGTTATCATGCCAGTATTAGTATTAAAAAAAAAACCACACACACAATAAACAGGTACCCTCTGATTCTATCAATACCAGGCTTCATAAACCTAGCCCCTATGATATCCAGGTAGATTTCTCTTAATTACACTCATTTAACTTAAGTCTGACCCAAGTTACTGCTATCTAAATGCTATTATTGTTGGGTTTTTTTAAAAGTAAATACTGGTAATCATATTTAAGTCTTGAAGCAATGGTCAGTTTTCTTGCTTTGAAATAATTTATTCAATACATAAAGAACCATGGAATTTTGCTGACCTGAATCTTACTGAAAAATTATTTGGCAAAATGAAGTAAAATTTACATGATAATGACAAGCTAGAATTCCTATTTTAAATTGAGATTATTTGTGAAATACACTACCCACAAAAATAATAAATCAAACTTAAAATTTCTCCTTCAGTTATGACCTTGAATTAACATGAAGACCTTGACCTTGATATTTTATTAACTTGTATAATCCCGACGTCTCAATGAAATAAAGATTTCAAAAGTAAAATTATAAGGTGACAGTGAAAAGGACCTACTTGACCCTAGCAGCTGACCTTTGACCTGTTCACTTAGCTTCAATTTGATTTTGGTATATATTAAACCTCTGATAATCAAATTCTTAAGGCAAAGTTGTGATAAAAGATGAATTTCAAAAATTCTAGTTATTCAACTTGCTTTGTGAGTGAAACACCCCTCTTTCTTTACATACAAGAAACAACGCTATCGTTAACCAGGAATAGCCCGTTATTGCTACGCTGTGCTTTGGTAAATGTTTATCTCAATTGTAAATTTTCAAATCAAGTGGGATACTGCAGTTTGAATATAGCAAATTACATGTAATAGTATGCTATGCTTAGATTTGCTCTGAATAAATGTCAGGGGAAAAAATAGATTACAAAAGGGATTTTCATCAAATTTCATTAACATGTGGGAAGATCATTTTTTTAAAACAAAAAAAAAAAAAAAACAAAAAAAACAAAAAAATTCACACTATACTAGCTGGTATATTCTTGAATTTAATCTGCCACTTTGAAAAATAAATTCACGTTTGGCAAGAAGCCTTGGAAAAACTAACAAAATACCAATATTTCAAAAAAGGGAATAAAAGGGCAATACAATATTTAAAAAGAATTTTAGATAAAAATAAGAAACAATGCAAGGAATAAAGGAGGAACAAATTAACTGAATTAGGTCAACAAGATAATTGTAATGGGTGGGGGGTTAAAAAAATTGAAAAAAAAATTTGGGAAGCAAGAAAACAACTTTTGGGGGTATTAATAAAATGAAATGCATAGATAAAATGGCACATTGTAAGTAACATTGGCACAAAGATTGTCAACAAATAATATAAACAAAACTGAAAATTCAGTCGAAACTTACTTGAAAAATTTCTCGTAGCCAACATGGTTGTGAGAATGGCTCCCTAAAATAAAAGATACAGAATCAGTGTGTTTGCCCAGCATACACATTACTTCAATGCATTTTTTTTTACTATTAATACAGAAGTAATGTGAAGCTTATGAACATTTCAAATGATGATGGAAGATGGAATATCCAGTGACAGTTATTTTTATTCATGAATTCTACCAGGAAGATTTTATATCGTCACATACCACTAAAACTTCACTATAGTTGTTTAACTATAAGATTTCATATTGTCACAAACCACTAAAACTTCACTATAGTTGTTTAACTATAAGATTTCATATTGTCACATATCACTAAAACTTCACTATAGTTGTTTAACTATAAGATTTCATATTGTCACATACCACAAAAACTTCACTATAGTTGTTTAACTATAAGATTGTGCACTATTGTGTATTATGCACAGTGTGTTTTACCCATTGATCTCTCTTTGGTTATACAAGGGTTGCTCCAACAGTAATGTAACAACTGGTATAAAATCTTTAATACATGTAGTCAAATCTTATCAACAAAATTTGACACACTATACTAAAACCCCACTCTTTTTTGATTTTTGCCTTAAAATTTCATTGGATCAACCCTCACAAGATAAACAACAAGACACTGACAACAAATGCAAGTCAATGTTTTAGATTTCATAACACAAAGTTATTTATAGTTCAAACACATTTAATTCTTGTTCCTTGTCAGTATATTTACATGCTTCAGTATATAGTCTGAACTAGATGTGCAGAATTTTCACAAATATTGTATGACACATCATGCAGTCCTGATGTCATTTAAAACTAATGATTTTTTTTTAGCAAAAAGCACTTCTGATTTTCACAAGATTCACACTCTCAGTAAAAACTCCCTTCTAGCTTATGCAAGTGTAATTCATTCTCACGAATTAAGACAATTTTTCTAAAATTTCCTAAGATTCTGTGCTTTCAACATTGAAAACTAAGGTCATAAAAAATACAACTAGCCATTATATGCCGAGATAAAAGCCCCAAGACAAATGTAAACATCTTTTAAAATAGATTTTTAAACACCTTAACTGGTACTGTGACTTTTTCCTTGAAATCAAAATTTCCTGTTGCTTGTTTGAAATCTAGGTAATATTTTCTACTTTGAACAAACCTTGAGTTTTCTGCGAGCGTTGAATTTCTTGAGGCAATCCACTGTCTCCTGTCTATGAACCACAGAAGCAACTCTCTCACGTTGCTAGAAAGAAAAGAAATAATGTCATTTTTAATAATACATCCTGCATTCTGATAAACTTATGCACAAAGGCTTCAATTCACTGGTAGAAAGGGCAAGCAATGCACGTAAAGAAAGCAAAATCTTTACCTAATTCCATTTACAAATATCAGAAAAATGGAAAAAAACAATCAAGTCACTTTTCTCCAATTAATCCATGTGAAGAATAAGTGTTAAATAAATATGGTTTTTCACCATGGCTTGAATAAACAAAAATTCTCTTAAACAAACATCTAAACCATATGACAAATTTCTTGTCAAATTTTTACCATACACAGCTTTTTTATTCTCACCAATAGAAAACCAAGCTCCTGTAACATGATACTTGCTAGACCCGATGTTGCACACATAATACCTTTTCATCTTCACTCTTTTGAGGATAAAAATTGTTGCTAAGTAACGACACTTTGTAACTGGAGATATCTAATTAATATACCCTGATCTGATGAGTATGACACACTTCTTAGGAGCATTAACACCATTCTTTTACCATTTGGAAAATTAGGCATATCATTTAAGTACATCTGTCTCAAATTGTTGCGATTTTATTACTACTGCAATGGATCTAAATATTCTATATTCACACTTGAACTAAATACTTGTTAACTTGATAAAACTGTGTATTGCATTTAGAAACTGGCTTAGGTTTCACATCTATGTATATGAAGACTATCACACATCTAATCCTATCAAAGATTATAATAATAAAAAAAAAAATCAATAAATAACATGCTTTTGAGTCCTCATTTGTCCAATAATGAATATCTTCAATTAATATGGATTTAAGGATACAAATGTTAGGCTTTAATTATACCAGGTAATTCCATGTACATGTTATTAAACAAATTACTGTTTCAGCATATACATATATAGCACATATTCTTGCTTGTACACTAGCCTCTTATAATTCAAAGTCAAGTTTAACTGCGTTCATACCAGACATTTCCACTCGTTTAAAAAAAAATTGAAAATTTAAAACTTTTACTAGTGGATGAAAAAAAAATAAAACTTAACAGGTGCACTGTAAACATATTATATTTAGCATGTACAATATTTGCCAGATATTGATTTTTGAACAAGTTAGCATAGATTTCATTCATTTCTTAATGTCCTTATTTATGTTTATATGTGCAAGACAATTAGCATTGTACTTGAATTAGTGGAAATTGCTTTCCGCCAAAGGCCCTAAAGACAATACACAGCCAAATGTACACATAATACATTTACAGTGTATTTCTTATAACAAACTCCTATTTTTACTTTGGGTTTCTTCTTGTTTTTTTTTTAAACTCTCATATGGCTTCATTTTTGACCAAGTATTTATTACACCCTATCTACACATCTACTACTTTCAGACTAGTCAAAAAATCTAGGTCCTTCTTCTTATTTTTGTTAAAACAAAAAATTCAAAAGTAATTTCTATTTTGTATGATGCTTGTAGTAAAAACTTTCCCTCAGTTCTACATATATGTACTGGTATAAATAGTTAATAGAATGTGGAGATACTTAGAATTCCCCTTCCCCACAGATGCAATGCTGGTTGAGGAGAGTGCGAGGGTAGGGTACTTACACAGATCCAGGGGTGTTTGAGGGCTTCTGTGGCATTTATACGTTTTGCAGGGTTGACTGTTAGCATACTATTGATTAAATTCTTTGCCTCAGGTGTCACAGTGTCCCATTCTGGTGAAGGGTACTGAAAAATATATATTACAAGTTATACAAATTGTGCTTTTGCTTCTCTGTCATTTCTAAGCTTAAATGTAGGAGTCCAACAGCGGTACAGCTCTATAAATTTAGACATATGCAGCTGTCAACTGTACACATGCCAATAATTTTTTTTTTACTTTCCTACTTCAACATTTTACTTTGGTTTAAATTGTTTTATTTCAAAAATAATTTTGTTATGTCGCTCATGATTCAAATCCACAAACTGCATCTGCAATTTTCTCTTTTTTTGGTTGGCAATCTAGAGCTCACTGGAAATGATGCCTTGAATTTTGCCACAAAAATGAAGGCACATAAAAATTTCTCTGTTTGAAGACCATAATAATAATAAACTTAACGGTTTAACAAGAGCCCCATGGGCCACATCGCTCACCTGAGTAACTTTGGCCATGCTGTTCTTTACCAGATTTCCCCCTTGTAATACCTATTGTGGCTCCGCCCTAACCCCAGGGGTCAGGATTTGAACAATTTAGAATCTACACTACTTGAGAATGCTTCCACATAAGTTTCAGTTTTTCTGGCCCAGTTGTTCTTGAGAAGAAGATTTTTGAAGATTTTTCTTACATATTTCAATGTAAAAATTGGATTCCCTATTGTGGCTCTGCCCTAACCCCGGGGGTCATGATTTGAACAATTTAGAATCTACACTACCCCAGGATGCTTCCACATAAGTTTCAGCTTTTCTGGCACAGTAGTTCTTGAGAAGAAGATTTTTAGAGATTTTTCCTATATATTTCAATGTAAAACTTGGATTCCCTATTGTGGCTCCGCCCTAACTCCAGGGGTCAGGATTTGAACAATTTAGAATCTACACTACTTGAGGATGCTTCCACATCAGTTTCAGTTTTTCTGGCCCAGTTGTTCTTGAAAAGAAGATTTTTAAAGATTTTTCTTACATATTTCAATGTAATACTTGGATTCCCTATTGTGGCTCCGCCCTACACCCAGGGATCATGATTTGAACAATTTAGAATCTACACTACCCGAGGATGCTTCCACATATGTTTCAGCTTTTCTGGCCCAGTGGTTCTTGAGAAGAAGATTTTTATAGATTTTTCCTATATATTTCAATGTAAAACATGGATTCCCTATTGTGGCCCCGCCCTACCCCCAGGGGTCATGATTTGAAAAATTTAGAATCTACACTACCCCAAGATGCTTCCACATAAGTTTAAGCTTTTCTGGCCCAGTGGTTCTTGAGATTTTTAGAGATTTTTTTTTTTACATATTTCAATGTAAAACTTTGATTCCCTATTGTGACAGGGCCCTACCCCAGGGGGTCATGATTTGAACAATTTAGAATCTACACTATCCCAGATGCTTCGACATAAGTTTCAGCTTTTTTGGCCCAGTGGTTCTTGAGAAGAAGATTTTTTAATGACCCCACCCTATTTTAGTCTGACTTTTCTTGATTATCTCCCCTTGTAAGGGGACTTGGCCCTTTATTTCAACAACTTAAACTCCCCTTTACCCAAGGATACGTTGTACCAACTTTGGTTGAAATTGGCCCAGTGGTTCTTGAGAAGAAGATTGAAAATATGAAAAGTTTACAGACAGACGGACGGACAAAGGGTGATCAGAGAAGCTCATTTGAGCTTTCAGCTCAGGTGAGCTAAAAAAACTGAATCTGTGCATCTCCTTCAGTATCACAGAAATCTCACTTCACAGGGGAAAAGGACAAAAACAAACCAGAAACTGCATAATCTGCTGAAACACAGACACACAGAGAAAAAAAACAAACTACAGAGACAGTTAAAAAAAATCAAGTGAAAAAAACTAGCAACAAGAAAGACAATCGCACCAAATTAATCTGCCAATCAGTAGCATGAATTCTTCAATATGGATATTAATTTTTTATTCTAATTTTTTCAATCAAACTGCTTATTTCTTAAGGCTATCTTGTGTTTATTTCTCTTGTATTTCTCTTGTCTGTTAAGTATACTTACATCATATGCCCCTGCCTTGATTTGGGCATACAGGCGGGGTTGATCTTCATCCCAGAAAGGAGGATAACCCACCAATAAAATGTATAATATTACTCCTGGAAAAACAAAATATTATAGGCAATTATATAATTCAGATATAATTTATCAAAATTTTGAGCAGGCAACTCAGATAAATAATATCAGCATTACAATATGTCTTCAATACTATATACAGGGTTATTTTCGCCCCATGTTATTTTCATCCTTTCACACCTGCAAATAATTTTGCCATCATTTAAATTTGCCCAATCACAGTTCTGTTTAAGAAATTATACTGGGTTTTTTGAATTCGCCCAGTTTTAACATCCCTCACCCTGTGGTGCTTATTCAGGGCTGTCACTGTCCTTTTTGGTACAGGGTCTGGGTCCCACTAGACTGGGAAAATTATCGACGTTTTGGGTCAGATTGGGAATTTTACTTTCATACAATGATTTAAAAAAAACTATTATAACATGAATTGATTATTCTAAGGTAAAGACAAAAACAACAGAGTAAGTTCAATTAGGTTTTAAACTTTTAATTTTTTTTTTTTATATACACAATGTACAGCTTATGACAATGGGAATCTCTAGATAAGTAAATTTGGAATTTTGGGGGGTTTTCCCAATTGGGAAAGGTTCGTTTTTTGGACCCAAATCAGGGAGACTGGCAGCCCTGTTGTTTCATTTTTTTTAAATACACTTAGACATCATCAGTTTTACCAGTTACTGCACTAAGTGTAATATCACATATAGGTAGTCTGTGAAGTATACCCACCACACGCCCATATATCCACTGGCTTTCCATAGGGGTCTTTTCTTATGACCTCTGGGGATAAATAACCTGGAGTCCCAGCAAATCCTGAAAAATACCAGAGGAAAGAAATATGAAGTTTTGATATAGAGGTCAAATGGGTTTAGTTTTCAACCAAAGGACTGGCAGTTCAAATCTCAACATTGTTGCTATATTTGCCTGTTTAGTCCTACAAATAGCCAATATGCAAGTTCTCAGTCCATTCTAACATTTTTGTTTATCATCAGATACTGCTACAATTGAGGCCTTATATAGTGTGGCTTACAAAATCACTCATTCAATATGACAGAAACAGTACTTAAGCACTGGTCTTGTTAACTTCTTGAATATGGACTCCGTGCACTGTAAATATACAGCAGAGCTCATTAGTAAATTTTACTGCCATTCAGTGGTACGTACACAGTGTCCATTCATCCTACATAATTATACATCTCACTGACAATACTTGTACTGAATAGTAAAGAAAAAAATTCTTTGTAATATCAGATCTGTGTACTTAATGAGCATCATGTCAATTTGAGGAATACTGTATTAAGGTGGGGTAACAGCGAGCACACAGTGATTAATAATGAATCCATGTTTACAGTAAAGTGATTTTCATTCAATGTAGTTTTTAAACATTTTATGAACTTATCAGAAATAACAAATTAAGTTTATAATGAATCAAAATTATTTGTCCCTGATATTTTTCTATAAGAGTATTTTACGGTTTGTACACTGGAGCTTACATCCAATATTTTGGATTGATAGATAATTTTTAAAATAAGACTCTATATACCATATTAATTAATGTAGCCTGTGACAAACTAGAGGTATTGTGATCCAGCTCATGAAATTATACCCCCACAAATTTTTTTTCAGTGCCCAAGAACATTAACTTAAAGTGACCCAAATGACCTTTGGTCAAGAAAATGACACCCCCTCTGGTCAAAAGTAGTTCTTTGTGCAATGAACCTCCCATGTTTCTCAATTAAGGAGGCTCATTACACCCAAAGTTTACTTTAGATTTCATTACAGCACCACTTATTATGAACATTTCAAATATCCAAATGGAGGTTATGAAACGATAAATATTTTTTAAAGATTTTTTTAATCTTTTTTCTGATTTTGGTTAAATGTTTTATTTCAAGTTTCTGATTGATAGTATTGCAGAAATCTCAGTCTCAAGTGATGGATATCCTCTTCAGATATGTAAGCAATACAAGTAATAGCTTTTCAAAAAGCTTGCCTGACTAATCAATCAATATCTATGGAACATAATTTCATAACCAAATACCACAGATTAACGAATATCTAAGACATGCCACTATTTGGTCATTTATTAGTTAGCCCACGGGCTGACTAGTTACGTTGGGATGAAACTGCAAGTGCGCTAGCGTAGATTATAATCAAAGGCGGATCCAGCACAGGCACGTCGGGCGTGCGCCCCCCCCCCCCCCCCCCCCCCCCCAAAATCAAGGAAAAAACACCTCTTATTTGTAAGAATTCGTCAGCTTCCGGGGGTTTCGCCCCCGAACCCCCATCAGAGCTTTGCTCTGGACCCACTGGGGTTTCAATACAGCCCCCCAGACCCCCTGCCCTGCCCTCTACTGCGCCCTCCCATTATGAAATTCCTGGATCTGCCACAGATAATTCTGGGAAAATAGTTAAATGATTCATTTTAAAGAAATTCATATAACATGTACTCTCTTACTAGAGGGCACATGGTCAGTGATAGATTGATGAGACGGCCTCTATTGATAGACTGGTCTGTTTTCCGTCATTCTCGACGACGAAGTAAATTATGAACAGTTTTAACTAAGAAAGTTGTCTTGAAGTGTTTGAGACAAAAATGTTTCAATGCTACTCTAGAAATCAAAGTAAATAACCTGTACACTTTATAGCTAGCGCAAAACAAGATACTAATAACACCCCCCCCCCCCCCCAAACAAAACTCGCGTGATGATGATCTTACCATATACAAGTACATGTATTATACATGAGCTTAAAATACATCTTTATATACAGTTTTGAAATTGCTAGTTTTTCTTTTCAATCGATTTCAGGACCTTTCTCATAACTAAAATAATGTGCTTTTTTATGAAATGTAAACCAGTACAGATCTTGATGTCTTCTTCATTTTGCCGATTCATTACTTAGAACCTTACGGGAGTGAAGCCCATTCCTCTACGGGTACTGACCTACGCTCTTGTCACTGTATTAAAAGGAAAGCCTTGTTCACCACAAAGCATGAAATAATATGCTACTCGCTGACTTTCTAAGCTTTTTTAAAAACCGTACCTTGTAACGTACATTATTAATAAATGTAATGTTGAAAGAAAGGCTAGGTGGAAAACAGAATCAAGAAGGGATGTCCCATTTACTGGGTGGAGGGAGTTTGTTTATGATTAGACTAGTCCACTTATGGAATAAATAGTAAGAATAATCAGCAAATCCATTGCTTTAGTGTTGCTTGTCCATATACAATGTGTTCTCTCAAAAAAATGAGACAAAATTTACTGTTAATAAAAAATCTGGAGCTTAAGAATCATGTTAAAAGAATAAACTTTATTTATTTCCATATGATAGAAGTTATCACACCCATTCAATAGAACAACCCAAGAAAAAGGCGCGAAGATATTTTACATGTGACACTTGGCGCGAAATGATTGTGTCACCCCTTTCGTAGAAGGCAAATGGACTGATCCAGTAGTTTAGAAACGCAGAAAAAATGTTACACGGACATGTTAGTACAAGGAATCGCAAAGAATAAATATGTGCATGCAAAAAAACTGAAGGAATTAAACATATCATTATTTTGCATCAGTTATATGATTCTTTCTTCTGCAAACTGTATTTGTTTAAATGCAGGTAACAAATTCCAATGTAAATCAGCTTGCAGAAAATCTAGTTCATTAAGAATGATCGCTTAGTTTCAGATCCCTAAAATATTAATCCTTATACTGCCTGACGCACGTGGCGTCAGGCAATAATTACTCTTCATAATATTCAATATTATTTTTATTAGAAAAAACAATTTTCTCTCAAAAAAGAATTTATGTGATTTTCTTCTTAATCTTTGCATGAATAATTTGGAAAATCAGTTATAAATAGACAAGGAATGTATATTAATGAAAAACAAGTGACAAATTGAATGAAAAATGTTTTAAAGAAATGAAAATTCCAATTTAAAAAAATAATTGGAATAAAAAGTCCACTTGCAAGAGTTATCTTTCCTAAATCCCCCCTGGTTACAGACTACTAATTTTACCCCTATTTCATTGACCACGCAAGTAGTGCCAGTTTAAAAATAGAGGTTTTTTCTTAAAAATTCTTTGGGATGCATATGGGGTGGAATGGGGTTATTTTTGGGCATAGATGGAAAGGAGAGGGTCTGAAAAAAATTATAAAATTGATAATAATGGGAAATTTTGCTTTTAAGCGCGTAGTAGGAAGGGTGTAAAGAGGCCCATGTTTACCCTTTCCTCGAAGGAAAAGTGAAATAAGCAGGGTAGGGGTTATTTGCGATGCCATAGCAGGACTTGCAGACTATGAATTTTCCCGAGAGCCTGAAAAATTTTTGGACTTGAATTGTTGTTACTCTATGCCAAGTTTCAGGTAAGGTGTGATTTTTTAAATAAATTTTTACATTATAAAGGAATGTATAGCAAAATAATTGGTAGTCTGTGTCCTATCAGGTCAAAGGTCAAAACTCACGTTAATCAATTTATTGGCACTTTTTGGATAATTTATAACTAATTATGCAAACTGTTGACAAATTTTATGAAAAAAATTGTATTTTGGAGAAGATGGATTGATTTAAATAATTGAAAAGGGGGAGGGTGCACCTGCTCGTGTTTGTCAAAGGGTATGATGTAATGTGTGCAATTAATGTGTGTCAAGAATTTATGCAATATGAATTTTGATTCAGTATTTAATGTTGTAGCTGACATAGAGCACATTCCTCACCTATCCAGTTATTTTAAATTTCAAATGGAGTACAAAAAACACAGGTATGTTCTAACATTTTATTGTTCTTTAACACTCCTCTTAGTATTAGAGAAATGCATTATTCCTCAAAACTTTAGTCACTTGGTGTATATGTAATTATAGTTGATACAATTATTTATTAATTCTGAATGTGAATTGAAGTTAAAAGTGCTTTAAAAGTTGAGTATTTTTTTTCAGTGGCTCATTTTCAGTTGATGTGGTGGGATTGTATGCAGTGGCCTGAATGGGAGACTTCTTTTATTTTTAAAAATTCAGGCCAGTTGCCAGTCAGAAGTGAACAAATTTCTACCAGCAGCAGAGACAAATGAGTATTTAGAAAACATGAAACAGCCGTCAACAATATTACTCTACAGTAGCCTTAACTAAAGGTATATAATCAACTGTCTCTTAAGTTTGTACCAATTTTTTTTTTTTTTTTTGGTAATGTATTCATCTATCACCATCATCTGTCGCCAAACTGGTTTACAGTCTCTAAAACTTTCTCCTTTTCTTTCAGCTTTTGGAATTACACATTTGCTGTCTGATTGCTGGCACTGATCTGTGATTGTCCAAGACAAGGGAGGTTAGTAAGGTGCTCAACATTTCATATGGAATGTTTAGTCCTACTGACTTCCTCTAATCTTGAGGTGTCTTGGACATCATTGTCTGTGGTCGCATATCAGACAAAATCATCTTTTTTGGACAAGGACAGGTGTTTTCAAGAATTTAGATGTACACTGTGCAAAAATAGTGATCCACCTAGCAGGCAGAATTTATGTGCATTTTAATATAACCATCTCTACAACCCCCCCCCCCCCCCCCCTTTTGTTCTTAGTAGTCAACTTCCAAGTAACTCCAGGAGTGATTATATGTGACATAGACATGGTATGTATTTTCTGTGTTGAACCATTGAAAGTATATGAAATGCTTTTTTATTATTTTCTATTATTTTGTACCTTTCTATTGCAGAGTTACCTCCCCTTTTTCTACAGCAAAGTGAATAATGTATGTAGGTAAAATGCATGTTTAAATTCCTTTTCTTGTAAATTCAGAGTTATAAAAACCAAAATTTTATAAAATTTATGGTATTTATTGTCTAATCATGTTTATTATTACATGAAATACCCATTAAAGAAGTCTAAATATGACCAGGGATAATCCAATTAGAGTAGTAAGTACCACTTCCTGACAGAGGCTGAATGAACCAGGTTGGATAATCTGCTTATAACAAAGGTATTAATCTTTTTTCCCTAACTTTTATGCTGATTTGTTAAAGCTTATATATTGTAGAATTTTTTAATATAAGTTTTACTAAAGTTAGAATTTGCGAAATATTTTTATTTTTAAAATTTCCAAGAATTTTTTGCTTTTTGAAGGTATTTTTTTGAAAAATTGTTTAAAATATTTATTTATGTAATAGGTAAAGTTTGCTTCTTGAATTTTGTATAGGACATATTTATCTAGTATACCAAAATATAAAGAAAGAAAATAATTGTAACATATGTGAGTTGTTAGCATTTCAAATTTGAGAACTGTGTGTCTTATGCTCATTTCATCCTCTGATTTAAGGTGTTCCAGCACATCAATTAAAGGGCCATAACTCTGCTTTGGAATCATCAATTTCAATGAAACATCATCAGCTACTTTGTATAAACAAAAGACACCGGCATGTCAGATTTCAGCAAAATCAGACAAGGTTTGTGTCCTTATTAGGTTACAGACTACTAATTTTACCCCTATTTCATTGACCACGCAAGTAGTGCCAGTTTAAAAATAGAGGTTTTTTCTTAAAAATTCTTTGGGATGCATATGGGGTGGAAAGGGGTTATTTTTGGGCATAGATGGAAAGGAGAGGGTCTGAAAAAAATTATAAAATTGATAATAATGGGAAATTTTGCTTTTAAGCGCGTAGTAGGAAGGGTGTAAAGAGGCCCATGTTTACCCTTTCCTCGAAGGAAAAGTGAAATAAGCAGGGTAGGGGTTATTTGCGATGCCATAGCAGGACTTGCAGACTATGAATTTTCCCGAGAGCCTGAAAAATTTTTGGACTTGAATTGTTGTTACTCTATATGCCAAGTTTCAGGTAAGTTGAGCTGGTGTGATTTTTTAAATAAATTTTTACATTATAAAGGAATGTATAGCAAAATAATTGGTAGTCTGTGTCCCCCTGACTCAAAACACTCGGGAACGGTTGAACATATCAGAATAAGCTAAAATTTCTAGAATAATATACATTTTTCAAGGAAATAAAGACAAGCACACAAACCAACAAGAGTAGTACTCTAAAAGCGCAAGTCAATATTTATTTCAATAAGGTTGTAGATTTCAACTAGAATTTCCTCTATACGTACATGTTGTCAGTGGTAGAACTTGCTGCTTTCGTTATGACATTGTACACTACTTAGGTAGCGAAGATTTGACTGTCATTCTCTTTGGTGTCTACTTAAAAATAACCCTTCTTCCTTCGTGATTTATAATGAAACCATTGTTCTCATCGTTTACAACATCGCATGTAGTCTATTTTTAGAGCGTTTTAAAGATTTAGTTTATCAGATCAGCAAAGCGAACCTGTACAATTTGTTCCCAGGAGAAAACGGACAAAACAATGGAGGTTTATTTTTCTGTGTAGTACATCATCAAAAAGTGGTGTAATGAGCCTTCTTAAATAGTTAGGGAATGACATGAATTTTTCTGCCAGTGATCTTGAACTTGCCAAAAATTGTCTAAGGTCAAGGTTATGACACATCCTTAGGAAATAGGTAATATATATGTGATGTTTGAACTTCCAACATTTTTCTATAGTAAGAAAAATTGAGGACATGACACAAATTTTACATTTTTATGCCAGTGAACTGGAACTTGCCCAAATGACCTAAGGTCAAGATCATGACACACCCTTTAAAGCTCATCAGCAATCTTTTTTTTTTAAGTATCAACTTCCAATTTTTCTCCATTAGAGAATTATGAATAGGATACGGTTTATATACTTTTGTGAACTTAAACTTGCTAAGATGACACTCATGTCAAGGCCATGATACACCCTCAGGTCATGAACAATCTTTGTGTCAAGTATGAGCTTCCAATTGTTCTCTATAACACAATATGGTCAGAAGAGAAATTATGCATTTTATACAAGTGACCTTGAATTTGACCAAATGACCTTGAGTCAAGGTCACAACACATGTTCATGGCATAAGCAAACTTTGTAGGATATATGAACTTCCTATGTTTCTTCATAAGAAAGTTATGAACCAGACATGAATTTTACCATTTTTGTGCTAGTGAAATCAAGCTTGCTTGAATGACCTTGGGTCAAGGTGTTGACAAATCAATCAATCTTTGTATCAAGTTTCAACTCCCAATGATCCTCAATTACATACTTATGTCCTGGATATGATTGCATGAACTGATGGACAAGGCAATCTGTGTTTAACCCCCCCCCCCAACTTTTATGTGCGTTTTACACGGGAGGGGGAGGAGTATAAAAAGGATGAGTCTCCCAAGGAAAAGACATTCTATTTGTATCTTTTATGCACTGTGCTGCACAGTGTTCCTGTGAAAAAAGAACTTAATTCAAAGGCACCACCAATTTTCAATGTTGCTGGTTTTGATGGCTATTATTCATGAGTTGTAATGTAAAACATTTGTTAGATGACCCTAAATTTTTTCGTTATGTATCTAATATCCTTAAAAGTTAGATTATCATAACACAATATCAAACTTCCTCAAAAGTTAGGGAAGATGGTATGTTGGCAGGGAATAAATAAGATAGACTAAATTGATAATAAGCAAATGTGGCTTTACCCAAAACCTATAACAGGGTTACAAGTCAAAGCCTCATATCACGATATAATTTAACAATGGTCAGCTTTCCATTTTTCTACCGTACATATGGGCTTCATATGCAGTATGGATACCAATGAAAAAAACAAATTAATAATCCCATAAAGACATAAAACATTCCACAGTTATACAATGCTAGACTTAAAGCAGCTAAGGCAATGAGATGATACAGATAATCCTCTATTTATCTTGTCTTTCTCATCAACTTCCTGTCTTCAAAAGTAATCAATTTCCTGTGTACTTCAACGTTTCCTTTCTCTAGGAAATTGGGAGAAAAAAACTTAGAAGCGTAAATTGACTATTACAGTCACTTTTCTCTTAAATAATGTCTTTATTAGGGCATTGTGTCTGAATTATAGTTAATGATTTTACAAGATGGCAGTAATCACACAGCTTGTGTTTGTGTGTGAAAGAGGTGTTGCTCTCCAACTGTTCCAAGTTTTCAGATGGCTTAAGGGAAGAACTCTCCCATGCCATGAGGAAAAATTCTTTATCTGAATTTTCTGAACATGAACAGTAAATTAAAATTTTTCATTAAATCCACCAAAACATACCTTCATCACACAAAATCACCCACCCCCACTTTATAGAAAACAAATACTTATGCAAGGGTTATGCAACCTTGATCAACTATAGTGAGAATAAGTTATTGATTAAATAACATTCATCAAGTGTTATATCACCCCCCTCCCCCCCCCCCCCCCAAAAAAAAAAATTGAATGTTACACACAATTCAAATAAAAAGAACGAATATACAGTACAAAGCAGTGTGAAATTTCTCTTCAGAACTTACCAAACCATGCCTGCTGATCTCCCTGAACTTCTATTGCTAAACCAAAATCAGCCAATTTGACAGCAGCTCCTTTTACTTTACTTGCTAACAGTAAATTTTCTGGCTATTTGAAAAAAAAAAGATAGAAACACACATATAAGCAACAGATTTAAATTTCAGAATGACTTCTTTAAGGAGAATTTTCTTCCGTAGTATAAAAAGTGATTTTAAGTGCTTTTAAAGAAATTAAGCAGCAATTCTATTTTTGCAATAAAAAGTTACATTATCATGCTATCTGACAAATCCTCAAACCTGAACACATAAAGCTGGCAGACTAATAGATTTATAGAGTTCCAAGTACCAAGTTATTCCTTAGTTGAAATTTCTAGCCAGACTTACAGTAAACATTATACTATTTAATCCATTAGCCCAGGTGAGCTAATTTAAAAATAAATGAATTTAAAAAAACCTATTGATCAACTTTTCGTTTTACTGACCCACATATGTGATTAAAGAAAGAAAATTTATAGGCATCAAGAAATAACAAAGCCTCCATTAATAACTCTCAGGGAAGCAATATTCAAACAAAAATTACAAGTGGTTGGCTTTTTAAGACTTCAATCCTGTGTCATCAATGTGCAATTACACATCTTAAGTTGGTTGTGGCCTATTTTACAGTGTGTCAATATTTTCCTAGAGACTAAGGCAGACATTAAAACTTCAAGGCATTTAGTTCGATGGCACCACTGACATGATTGCTTCCGTAAAGAATCGTCAATCCAGTTTACTTAAGAAAATCATCATAATCTCATCAAACATGGCCTATACGAAGCATTTAATTCAATTCTAAAATGACTGTATAGTAAAATTTTATGGCCCTTAATGTCACTTTCAAATGGGATATTACCCAAAGGTTACTTTAAAAGCATCAAAATTCTTTTCCCTTTGGAATTTTAACCTACCTATTAGATCTTTGTGGACGATTTCATTCATGATTCTAAAAGAAACCCATATAATGGCTAAAAATTCTTTTTGAAAAATAGCATTCATGGATATTCATGCTGTAGAAGTGCTTTGAAGAGAAGATATTAACTCTAAACTGTCTGGCCATGTGATGGAAGCATTTTCAAACAGATTCTAAATCTAGTCTCCAAACGCTCACCATTATTGTTTCTGTTTTCAATTCATCGGGGATTCTCACTTATCTTATTGATTTCATTTATATTTGAGGACAACAGCTAAGCTATGCACTCTTTGCAAAAAAAAAAAAAAAAAAAAAAAAAAAAAAAATTCTGGAGACAAGTGCCTCTGATTTTTTCAATCGAAGCAAATTTCCTCATTGGAAAAAATTCCTGGAAATGTTGATGGATGGATATTGATAAATTGTCAAAAACAGTATGCTACTGAAATGGATTTTATCACATTTTTATGCTAAATTCTAAAATTTGACTCATTGAAATCACCGACCAATGGTATTCCATAAAGGAATATCACTTTGCCTTGCATACTGACTTGCAGATCTGATCAATACATTCCATTCATAAAATACATTTCAATTTCTCTCCCCCCCCCCCCCCCCAATCAAAAAATGCAATTTTGAAGAATTCTTAGTTTGACTGAAATAAAGTTAGTTACAAAGATAATTAACACAATTCAAAGGTCAGAGAACACAGTTCAAACTCAGATCTTAAAAGTACTAAAAAACTTGCATTCTCGATGGGCAAGTTTGAAACTGGGTTATCATAGTTTCAGCAAAAAAAAAACACATTTTTAAAGCGGTGTCCTAGCTTGAGCATAAATTAAATTAGTGACCAAATTCTTGATTGAAAATTACACAAGGCTAAAAATTCCAGTTACAACTCTTATGATGGATAAACTCCCATTTGAATAATTCCTTTGCCTGACTCTGCATACATGATCTAAATTTTCAATCATCTTGTTTCACTGATTAGGAAGACACTACGGAGGAGAAAAAATCTGTCTAATTGTATTGGAAAAGATTTATTTAAGCATGATATCCCTGAGTAGAGAGAAAAAAACCCTGTCTTTGTGACAGAAAATCAACAAAGCTCCTGATATCTAAATCTATCCTGCTTAACTGACATCACAAATTCACAGGGAAAAAAAAGCCTGCTTTCAAATCTCATTAAATGTATTAAGATGGATATAACCTTTTACCGATGAATGTCAAAGGATCATTTAAGGATTCCAAAAGATTTTAGGTGAAAACAGAATGATTCCAGTGGTGGTAGAATTGCGAAAAACCCCAATAACTAGGTTATATAAACGATTTCACATTAAATAGCTAATTATACGATACTAATGTCTACACCCCCACTCTTCTAGGACTGTTAATTACCTTTAAATCTCTGTGTACTATTCCATGGACGTGACAGTAATTTACGCTTTCTAAAATTTGCTGCATACAATGGCTGGAAAATAAAAAAAAGAATATGGCATTATAAACCTGCAGATACCTCAACTAAAAACTGATAAATCTTGCATGAGATTCCAGCTTAAACATTGATAGTGCTATTAAGATTTTCATTTATGATAAATTTGACACTTCTCATAACTTTCCAACAATCTTAGGAATTTCAATGTTTCCAATTTTCTAGAATAATTATCAATGAGTCAACCAGTGTAGTTCATTCATAACTTTGTATGTTCCTGATCAGGAAAGAAGACAAAAAAACTCATTTAACACTACATCAATGGTGAAAGACAGGGCCATTAGAGAAGGATAAAAAGAGTTCATGTTCTGTCTAATAAACAAGAGAAAGAAATATAACACACAATGTGACAAGAGATGATCCGCAGGCAGACAAGATTGGCAGGGCCTGGTATTGCTACAGACAACCACAGCAATGGCCAGACTTGTTAGCACTTAGCAGAAGTCCCTCGATGACTTGGCTTACATGAGTAACCACATCACCCAAATATCTTCCTCAACTACTAGTAGAAACTAGGAATTTGAAAACTAGGTTGTGAATTTGAAAACACCAGGTTCCAGCAGTGGTCAAGTCCTTCAGTGTTCAATTTCTATATGACATTTAACCTAGCTGATACCTGTCAGTTTTCAGAAAGAGAATAATTGAAATGTCTTTGCTTTTCATACTACCTATCCTTTTTACTTGTTTGGCTCTTGATTTGACATTTCAACACTAGGAAAAGCCATTCCTTACAATATACACTGTGATTGGCTAATTTTATGTCCTGTAAAAGACCAATGAAATATTTTGTAGGAAACTGAATGACCCCCTAATCAAAAGCCTGAAAGGACTTCGCTGCAGAACTGTAGCTCTCTGGTCGAGAAAATATGGACAGATAACAGAGAGCTACAGATTCAAACATTGTAAAAGTCTTTGATTTACAGCGCAGTTTTTGTCACTCACTTTGGGTCTTATTTCTTTTATTATATGCATTCCTTCACCTAAAGCATGGTATTCGTTAATCAACCATATATCTTGCTCAAATTTCTGATGCTTTATTTACCATCTTTCAATGGATTCAAACAGGCCTATGTTTATTTCACATTCTGATGTTCATGGTGGGTGCTTAAATGTATTTGTCCAAGAACATAACACATGTCGAGAAAATCAAAATAATAAAAAAAATTTCAGGGGGGAGGGGGTGTCAAATATAATCTATATCTTTTATGAAAGAAGAAAATATCCATTTAAAAAGGAAATTAGATATATAAAACTTGGGCGTTATTTTAGCATTGATGTCAGAATGCAAATTTTTAACTGACGTACATTCCAAGGCTATATAGGGCTGTATCAACTGTTGGAAGGTAAATAATGTAACAAAGATTAAGATTAAAATATATGGTTAATTAATAGATACCATGCTTTTGGCAGGGGAACACATATAATACAAGAAATAATACCCAAAGTGAGCGACAAAAAAAGTGGTGCTGTAATTCGAAGGATTTTTACAATGCTTGGATCTGTAGTTCTCTGGTTGACTGTCCGAATTTTCTCAACTAGAGCTAGTTTTGAAGCTAGAAAGGACGTACCTGGTGAAAAAGAATTAAATTTTGGACGACTAATATTATTTGTCTGTAACATTACAAGCCTCCAGCACCAGGTGTGACTATATCAGTGTAAAATACACCCTCCATTTCTAAGTAAGACCTTAGCCAAATGTGACTTATGAACTGAATTTCATTCCCAACATCAACTGATATTCCAAGTATGTCTCTTATTCTTGTTTTAATAGAAAATGAGAAATCTATCAATATTTTCTTTCTTCATCAAGGTAGGAGTAGAGGCTTCTCCATTGTATATAATACATCTGTGTCAATACATGTATTATACATACAAGCGTCAACGACATACCGAGTAATTCAACAGAAATAAATGGCAACATTCTCCCATATGCCGTGCTGCATTTTCTTTTCTTGATTTTATTTAAACTCTTTTGCAGAACTTTAACTTCTGTGATAACTTTGCTGGTGTGTTTGTTTGTACTCGGACTCACCTTGCGTCGGCTTCACTATAAAATTCCCGTGCGACTATGTCTTCAAATAATTCCCCCCCAGTAACCCTGAAACGAAAAAGAAAAATCAGCTGTTAAGTAATAAATCACTTCATTGTTCTTAATCTACACAGCATGGAATAGTTATCCTAATTTATTATTCCTTCAATAATTCATTATCCAACACCGTTCTTCTCTGGATACATCCTTATCCTAATACTACAACTGATATCAGCTATAAAATCACCCATTCCTCATCAAAAAGTCATGAGAAACAGAGAGGATTGCCCAACATTGGAGTGGACAGAGAGTACAATGTAATACACATATACATAAGAAAATGTCCAACTTAAAAAAAAAAGTAAAACTGTATTTTTAACCATCATGTCAAAGCACCTGCTTAAGATAAGGAAAATCTTACATTCATGTTTTGTACACCTGGTATACAGATTAATAAATAAAGCAAGATTTGTCACAAAACAATAAATACTAATACTTTACTCAACATTAACCAATTTATACCAATTCAAAACACACTTCTGAACCTCATAACCCTGCAACAAAAAGACAATGTACATACATGTATTAACTAGATTTAAATAAAGAATCTTAATTTAAATCTATAAAAGAATGCAAAGAATAGCTTCATACTTCAATGTTAACCTTATTAACAAGTAACCACAGAATTTAAAAATGATCAAAAACTTCTTAAAACCTGAATTACAAAATTATAACACATCATACTGCGAAATCTCAAATTTTTATGGGGGGTTAATTTTCATTGTTTTTGTGGCATATTTCAAATAGATAACAACACTTTTGGGTTGAAAATTTGATCCCATGAAAATAAGTGTTTTACAGATTTTAGATGTCAACTTAAGTCAGAGACCAAAGAGTTACACAGGGTCAATCGGACATTGTTTTCATGGTATTTTTGTTGCAAATGAAAGTCCCTCCAGCCATTATCATGTTTTTTGAGTTTGAGCACATATGATATAGTACAGATTTATAAATTACTATGTAGGGTAAATTCATTCAATTTAGTTATCTATATGATACTTGGAGCCAATTTGGCTTACCATAACATCTGACAAATTCAAAACCCTTCACCACAGAAAATTGCGAATCTTGCAAAACCTCAACTTTTTAATAATACCATTTTCAAATTAGTCTTTTTAGTATCTCAAATGACTCTGTGTTTATTGACCTAAATCAATGTTTTTCGCAAATTTTCCTCAAAACCTTTATCATACATGTATATAAAACATAGCATGTTCACAATTTATTAGATCATTCATGCTTAAGTAATTTTCTAACAAATCACCACAGAAAATAATATGTTTATTTCAAAATCAGCTAAATATTATGCAATTATGCTAGGACTTGTGTAAGGTTTCAAACCTCCACAACCTGGAATCTGAGCACTTTTAATGAATATGACAAATCTGATATTTGATCAAGGGCTAGGGAGGAATTCTATTCACAGAGCCTGAGTGAGACTCCTACACAAATACACCAACACACCATAATAAATACAAGTGCCTTCTCACTTCTAAGTGTAGAAATGCGACAATATCAAACAAAAAAAAAACTATGACACATAAAACTGATCCCACACAGGTGATCGGGAGACAAATAGCTTGTCTACCCACAAGGCGGACTAAGCCAGTACTATTCCTGTGGGGGCGATTAAATGTCTACTCCATCTCTACTTTCCCAGGTCTCATAATGGATGGCAGTTAGTCCAACAGTAATTGTGTCAGGCCCCCTGACCTTAGCGGCTGAAGTGGTGGGTGGGTATAGTGGATCTCCCCGTAATCTGTCACAGTCGGGAGTGATGAAACACAGTTAGATTACACCAAACAAAGCCAATTTAAACAGACCATAAATCAATTTATACAATTTTTTCGGATCTTATTTTTATTCCAATCCTGCAGATGTAAATCCTTGAAGCCTTATTACTTTACCAAACTAAAAATCCCAGATAGAATAAACTATTGATGTGGAAATATTAAAGATTATCTGACTGCTAATGTTTGTATTTCAGAGGGGGATTTATTTGAGAGGCAATTTATTCCTTCAAATTATTCTTAGCATGTGCAAATATTAAAAATGCAGGGAAAGATCAAATTCCCTAAATCACTGTCTAGCCAGTTCCTCTCAACTTCAAAAAAGCATAATAAAATATAAATAATGTTAGGCCATCTTTTGACACTGTTGCATAGTGTACTGTGGAAATGTCTGCTCTTTGTATAATTGATTTTCATTTTGGATAGGTTATATGGTCACTGTGATACTGATCGGCACTAGTCTCCTCCTGCAGTGGTTAAATCAATTGCAATATTATTCCTCTGCAGTGGGAAAAATCAATCAATCGATTCTGTCTCGAATGTCGCACATCTGATCCAAGATTGGAAGCCTATCTTGGCACAGCAACAAGCAGCATGTGCCCATTCAATGTACACACCTGACCTTCTTTCTTCATTTTTAATTATTATTTTTTCTACAATATAACTTTTTCTAGTATAATAATTTTTACATATCTCTATGAATTACTCAATCTTGGTAAGTCTTTATAGAGCATGATATACGTATTGGCTGGTTAATGAAGTAGACATGAAAACTTTGAATGCGTGACACAAAAATTAGACAAAGAATTTATCTGCATGCCTATAACCCCAACAAATTAGAGCAACACAAATACCTGTCATAGCTTATAACACCAGGGATCTAGATTTACAAGATGAAGTAACTTCAGAGACCTTGACAGTGTGGATCAGAAAGTAATAAAACACAAACACTCTATAGATTCAGAATATAATAGGAAAGTTGTCCACAAGATTGAAAGAGCTCAAAATCTAGATGAAAACCAGCAAGAAATAAAACATTGGTTGTTTATTCTTCTGTAAACAGGGTTGATTAAAAAAAATTGCATTTGTATACGATATACTTTATACTTTCATTCTTGTAAAGTCACACAAAGTAATGGAGTGAAGTTGTGCACATCTGAAATTACTGACACGAACAATAGGGTGCATCTGAGGTTTTGACACTTGCCATTTTTCTTCGTAAATTTTATGACTTGTATCTTGACATTCCAAGGAGGGGGGTTTAATATTCATTCAGTAAATCACCACTAACTGCTTTGTACAGGAGACACTAAACTAATCAATATATTATTGTGCTTGAGATCTTGATCCCTGGCAAATTTCAAGTGCTTGCTACAAAGTACCCTCTTCACAATCCCTCAAAACTTGCTCCATTGCACCATTCTCTTGAACGTAATACAATATGCAGCTTCTGAAATTTAATAGCTCCACTGCTTTCATTTTGCAAAACTATTAATAAAACCAAAACAGACCTCACAAATTCTTATAGTGATTGCTGGTGCATTATTTGAATTAAATATCTATTTGAGCAGTGGAATTTAACTACTGTTTTGATGACTTCAAACACACTCTGTAAAGTCTCATCCCCTCCTTTATTAATAACAGTCGTGTCCAAGAGATCAACAACATTGATTTTCAATCAACAGAGACAGCTGATTATTTACTATAATCATTTGCTTCTAGCACATTCCAGTGATGTCATCCCCGATGTGACATTTATCCACCTGCCTCATCTTGTTCGTTCCAGCAATGAACTTTTATGCAATAGTCTGGACTCTTAAAAACACTGAATTAACTTTCTAGAAGAATTTCTAGCTAATTTTTGAAAAACGTCATGTATCAATAATATCAGAAACTTGGTCTTCGTCTCCAGCTAGGCAAACATAATGTAGATGCTTTTCTGTCTGCATGGTGTCTAGGACAGTAGTTAGTCCCCACTCCCCAACCAAGCAGGGTCTGGGGGAGGTGGGAGCTCAGCACAAATTGACAATATTTAAGAGTGTTAGATATTGAGATGTTGATGCAATAAACTCTATCTTTAAAAAAAATTTGAAAATATGTAGGTATTTCACCACTGATCATTTGAGTATCTACTTCAATTCTAGAAGAAAAAAAAATCATTAAACTCATTACCTAGAGGATTTTAATAACTGCAAAATAAGACTCCTTTTTCAATATTCCACTTATCTATATAAGTAGCTAAGAATTTCACAAGAGGGCTCTGCCCTAGGAGATTTACAGGTAAATTGTCAATTATTTAGTATTTACAACAAGTCGTCCACACATAAATCTGGGTTCAAATCTTTCCGCTGACATTAATTCTACACAGTACAAAACAATTGGATTTTTGCAGAAATAAGATACAAATAAAGATTTTTCTTTACCATGAAAAGAAGAAAAGTCGATCATTAAAATCTGTGAGAAACTTCGTATACATGGCATTTAGAATACATTTACTGGTAGCTCAAAGGAACAGAAACACTACATATGAAGCACCCTCTTAATAAGACATGAAACTTTTACAATTACCAGTGTGACTTAAGGACTCATGCTTCCTCTGTCCACACTTGTCAGTGCAGTGAGTCCCCTAATCATTGTAATCAATAACCTCACAAACATCTCACTGCTGTCTGATTGCATGTCTTAATTAGAATTTCTACAAATTCTTTGATTCTGGGCTTCTGCTTGTCAAATCTAATTACTGGAATGAAGGAAAAGAATGCCTCCTCCTTGACTCTTTAATGGCTAAACAAACATATTCTTGTCTTTTCAAGATGTCATTAAAAGTTAGGTGCCATTTCTAGAAGGATGTGCTCCAAAATCAATTCAGATGCTGGCACCAAAAAAGGCATAACTAAGGACCCTAGATAGTAAAACGTCATGAATAAACCATGTATAAAAAAGCCTTGATCAATGTGATCTTGTAATAAGCATTATCTGTCAAAGCCTTGGTAGATTTATTTAACAATCTTTAGGAAACTCATCCTTGCTATGAAGTAACTTACATATATTTTTCCTATATACTTGGTGAATCATTTTCTCATCTTCCTCAGAATTGGCAATTTCTTGTGAATTTCTCCATTTCTTGCCTCATATAATGGTATGCCATTTTTCTGACAATATTTTGCAAAGCTGCTTGTTAGAGCTGTTTATTTTTTCAAATGAAAAAAAGTATGTATAGCCATATTTGAAAAAAAAAAACGTACACTGTGAAATCACTATGTTGTGTGTGTGTTGAGGGGTGTTATTATATTCCCCAAACGAAGTTTGGGAACATATTGTTTTTACTCTGTTTCTTATTATTATTATTATTATTCTTTTTTTCTACTTTCTTCTCCGGTACTTTTTTGTCCGGGAGTGTTCTCATAGAACCACTCATCCGATTGACATGAAACCTTTTTAGGGTTAATAGGCATGTTGTGTAGGTGTGTGGAACGAAGGTCATTTTGCGCGCACATGCATGCACGTGCGCGCGCGTGCGTGCAATGAGTGAAATGACTGATATACTTGATGAAGCCGTAACTTTTATATTTCTTGATCAATTGCTTTGAAACTCAAAATATAAAGATATATTAGTAGTCTAGACAAGACAACATGGTCAAATTAGCGTGAACTCACGCGCATGCATGTGCGCTCTTCTCTGATTGGCTGATACAAAAATCTCAATAATTTCCTTGTTTTTTGACAAAATACTTTGAAATTTAGAATATAAGTATATATTATAAGGTGCTACAACATGTTATATAGGAAATTTCTTGAAAACACGCGCATGCAGGTGTGCTGCAAACTGATTGGTTGAAACTTTAAATGTCTTTAACTCCCTTGGTTTTTAACAAAACAGGATGAAATTTAAGACATGGATAGGCACATAGAGCTCCTACATTATGATACTATCAAAATTGAATGCAAGGCCATGCATGCGCGTATGCTGAATTTTGATTGGCTAATACTTAAAGGGTTACATCTCTCTTATTTTTCAATGAAATTCTTTAATATTTAAAACAAATGTATGTATTGTGAGACACTATAAGATAATTAATGTAAAAAATGTAGCTATTAGATTGGCTCATACCCATATGGCTATATCGGAGTTGTTTTCCAATGAAATACCCTTAAAAATAAAGTGTCCATCTATATTACAAAAGTATTGTCTAATTTATTGAAGCTTGTAGGGAATGGGGCATCACAAGGGATTGGGGAGCCATTTGGGGAACATCTGTAACGGTTCCCGTTACAATTAGCACTAGTTTGCATTGTTTTCATGGTTCTCTTCTTCAACCACAAAATTAAATCCCTGCAAACCAATTTTCCTCCCTAAAACCATAAAAAATTGACCAGAAAAAAAAACTTGAAATTAAAAAAAAAAATAAATGATTTTTCAGAAGAATAAGAAAAATAAGAGATTTTACAGTATTTCATTTAAAATGCACTTTACATGAAATTACATTTCAAAAATTTCATATCCTTAATTAGCTATCATTACAACAATTTGTCTAATTCTTCCTGGTAAAACAGTATAAAATTCAGTATAAAACAATAGAAATTCAGGAAATGCTTTCACTACCTATTTTCCTTTCCGTAAGGAAATGAACTTTCCCACGTACTTTTGATATGAGTCTGGTGATATATTTCAAAAACAAATGTCTACAATTTATTGAGATTTTCTGCATATCTATACAGTCAGATCCCCCCTTTTTCGGAAAAAATTTTTTTTTCTATGGTCTCCTGTTATTCTATTAAAACAAACAAACAAACCTGTTCCCTCAAAAAAAAAAAAACACTTGTTAAATAAAGGTCAACTTTTTTAGATACAAGAGGAGAATATAAAACTGCATATTCAGATAACCATAAACACAAAATAGACCTGTAAAATACAACAGCTTCCTAAGCCTGTACACAGCCTAAAATAATGTTAGGGGAAAAAAATTCCGGAAATCATCACCAGTGTCATTATCACAGGGTTTAGAGAAAACAGTAGTTATTTTCTCAACTACATCATACAGCGTCAAAACACTTCATAGTTAAAACCCTGTAGTCACAAGTGCACATCATGCAGCCTTTGTACAATGGATAATTGTATCAGTAACAACTAAACAGAATCTGTATTTGTATCTGTATTTTAGAAAATATTGTTGTACATGTGGTGTGCAAATAAATGAGAATCTTTCTTGGTGTAATAAATTTTAAGGAGGATATCTATTTTTCTCTCTGAACAGCAAAAAGTATACTTCCCAATATAAGGCATATCAATGAAATTCCACAAAACTAAAAAGATCTCCTTAAAAAAAAAAATTCTCATTCAAAAAGGCCGACATTTCACTGGATATGATTGAAAATTGTTATTCTTGTGTAAAAATCCTATAGCAATCTCAGACCTCCCCTGTAGCTGGATAATTTGTCTTCATTTTCTCAAGGTTTTTTATGCATCCAAAAATATTTCAGAACAGTTTGTGTGTGTGTGAGATTATGTAATTCTAACAATGGTGCCAGAAAAGCTGGAAATGAGTTTCTTCTGTAATTTTCCGAACTCTTCATTTCAGCTTAGATTATCTGTCATTGGAGTATATATGATATTTCAAAAATTTAATACTATCCTTGTTTGACAACTCGGCATATTTTTAAGATGCAATATGAGGTCACCTGACCCGATTAATAAAAGTCGGTCAAAGCTAAGTTCAAGAGCAATTTATAGTAGCTACCTTAATTGTTTGGAAAATAAAGCAACATTCCATCTGTGACTCAGAAACTTATAATATATAACCAATGACTGAAACTGAAATATTAAAAACTGTCTAAATAATAAATATACAAATATTTATACTTACAAGTCAAAGACTAAATAATGGAAACCTTCATCTTGTATACTGTCATGCAATCGAACTGCAAGAGACCAAACAAAAATCCTCCAATAATAAACAAACAAGAGGCCCATGGGCCACATCGCTCACCTGAGCACATTGGCTAGGAAAAAGCACAAATCACTTCAGTATTGAAAAGTTTAAAGGGGGGCTTGGATTTTGAACTACCTGAGGATGCTTCCATATCAATATAACAAATG